CATCCTCTTAAAAATATTCCAAAAGTCAAACAGAAATACATTTTCATTTCTATTTCTCTTAGTTCATTGCTCCTGTTGCTCATATTTGTATCTTATGACTGACATTTTTGCTTTATTTAAGCTCCACCATATTTGACTTATTTATTTCTCGATTCGTGTAAAGCCTGAGAACAGGTTAAGGGGAACATGACACCAACTCCATGGGATTATATTTCAAAGACTTGACACAAGCGAATCAAACACATATCTCATGCGATATTTCATTAATATTTATAATACCAAACCACGAAAAAAACGGAAAAAAATGATAAAAATAATGTGTAATCGAATGCAGAGGCAAAGCAAAAGCAACAACAGCATTAATCTCATTTAAATTAAATTAATTCCACACTTTAAAGCGTCCATATATTTCTGTATTATTTAATTAATGTATCGATATAATAATAATAAATAAATATTTATAGAAAACAAAGACTTAAGCGTATGCAGGCGTTGTGTTGAAGTTATGTTTAATTATAAATTTGATGTTAGTTAAGGGGGGGGTAAGGTTAATTCGGTGCAAAAAAGGCCACTTTTCAAAAAATTATTGTGGCGGAACAGCTGAAGTTAGCTTAATGAATTAAATACCATATAATAACACAACATTTGAATAACTTTTGATAAATTTTGTATTGAAAAATATTTAGAGGTAGAGAAGTTATAGGGAATCTCCAGAGTCGCCTCCAAAAAAAGTTGTTTTGCGGTGTACATCCTAACAGTCCACAGGATCATCCGATCTAAAAAAATTATACCTCATTCGTTAGAGGATAAGTGTGCCGAGGTATTCACGAAGCGTTTTTTTTTTTTAGTTTTTTTGTGATTTTTTAGGAAATTTGAAAGTCAAAAACCCGATTTTTGACTAAAAAAAAAACGTTATTTCTTAATTTAAAAATATATAAAAATTAAAAATTAAAAAAAGGCCGACGTGAATACCTGAGGAATTAGTTAAAGAATGTGTGTGCCAAATTTCAAATCGATCGGTTCAGTAGTTTTTCTGTAATCGTGTACACCGATTTGAAAAATTGAATTTTTCAGGAGAGCGCTTTAAACTTTGTGATTCTCATGCATTGAACACCAACCGACCTTCGTTCAACTCCGCATAACTTCGTCAATTTCACTCTGATCGATGTAAAACTTGGACACAATATTCTTAAGATGTTAAACTTTAAAAATTAAAAATAAAAAAAAATTTACGAAAAAAAAAATTAAATACCTTACCCCCCCCTTAACGCAAAGTAAGATTGATGGGTTTAACTTGATAGTTTGCAAAGCTTTCCCGGTATCAGATTAAAAGACATACGAGAACTTTAGTTTCCGACAGATAAATATTTATAATCTGAAAGCCAATAAATGGGTTCCATATAAGCAGGTAGTCCCGCTTCCAAAAAAATGGCTAAGGGAACCATTTATCATCTGTGAAGCCGCCTGACCTTAGCTCTTGGTCCACGCTTCAGTTTATAAAGTTTGTTTAATTAAAGTCGCTGCGAGTTGCGTTAAATATTTGCAGTTGTAAATACGTGTGACCTCTCTTGCCGCTTGATTAAATATTAAGTTTACTTGCTATCCGAAAAGGTAAGTGAATTATACAAAGGTGGGTCTACTGGGGAGAGGGCCTGGCTCTTAACTTTATAACTTCACTTTTTTTTAACTAAATTTTAATTCTTTAATTATAAATGTATGTATATGCTTTGATTTTATTGTTATTTATTGTAGTAACAAGTTTAATACTTAATCAAGAATTATTCTTATGTATAAGGAACCTTGTATACAGTTGTTAGTTAAAATATTCAATAATCATTAATTTAATTCATTTTACTTAAGATGTGTTTCTAAAAACAATTTTAACTCTAAACCTAACCTTAGACTTAGTTTGAAAAACCAACATTTAAAAGAAAACACAAAAATCTATATAAAATTTAATTTTTCATTTCAAATTTAAAAATATTTATTCTCAATCCTAATCTTGTGTTTTTGTTTAAATAATACACGATAAATAAAATAAAATCAACCAATTATCTTATTTCCAAACCAAGATACAACTGTAAAAAGCATTTGTCAGAGACACAAACCGGAACGCAAGCTTCGCATAATCTGGTTCTCCCTTTCCCACACGCAGCAAAAACGCCGGCAACAGTATGGCCGTCCCGCTCCTCACCCACTCACCAAGCAAGAGCGAGACTGCAAAAATGTCTAAAATCCGCTGGCTATTTCCGCTGGGCGCCTGTTAAATGACGCGCGATACAACAAATCGCACTACACAAAGTGTGATTCCGAAAAAGGCGGCGGCGGCGGCAACTCAGCCAACGGGCGATGTCTTTGCTGCTGGCCTCATTTTTCTAACACCCAGCGAGAGACACAGACACAGGGCCCCGCCAAAGTCACCGGAAGTCACCCGAGTCACCTGTTGCTGGCGCCCTTTAAAATGCAGCAACTTGTAGAGGGGTTAAGGGACCAGGAGGGCTAAGGGTGCATGGGGGGGTGAGACAATTGGACAAGAGGCCAATTACAATTGTGATTGCCAATAGGCCCGGGACCTATCATCGAATGCAATGGCCAAACAATGGCCAATGCGGCATGAAGGCCCGACGAACTCCACCCACATAATTGTTGGCCAGGATATAACCAGTTCTTCTGCCGAAGAACGCCACAGAGAGTCTTCGCTAAAGGGCTTCTTAATCGACTCTTCTGTTGTTCTGTTCGGTTGTGTTCTTTTTTGTATTTTATTCTTTTTGGGCACCTTTAGCCAGTAATGGTTATTATATGCCCGCTTTAAAGCCGCTCTGGTTGGTCTGCGACTGGCGCACCAGTCACAGTAATCAGCTGACGGCGTCCGGACCGCTATCACTCGACAAACAGCACACACAGGGAGTCCATGAGCAGCTGCGTCGGCAGCCAATAAGAGCCGCCATCCAACTATGTGAGGGCAACCACCATCTGGACCATGCTGTGCGCCTGCTGAGCGGTTTGTGTCATTCGACCAACACAAATTTTCAACGTTCCAGTTGGAACACGGGCGAACGCTCCTCGACCAATAAACTGTAGCAGCGGATGGCGGGCCAGCGGTACAGCGCTCCCACATCACCCGGGCTCCTTGCCGCCCCTGCCGCGTCAGCGTCGGAAAACCAACCACGCCAGCCAAAGAGCGGCGACGAATAAAACAAGCACAAACCGAAGCGAATACGACCAGCGGCTGTATCTGTATCTGTGCGCTACGTAGCTGCGTTAGCTGTGTATCTGTGCGCTACACGTAGCTGTGTTGGTGTATCTGTGCCTGCCGCCCTGCCTCGGTGTGTATCCGTCGGATTGTGCCCGTATCGATAGAGCGGCGCTCGCTGTTCTGCGCATTTATGATTCCCTGGCCAAAATATCGGTAGTTTTGTTGGCCGCGTGACGATTGCCGCGTGACAGAAATCGCCGCCATTGATTGAAATCGCTATCGATACGGCCCAAAAGGTGATGTAGGTCTGCGATCTTAAATCAGAATTTATTACATTCAAGTTTGGTAATAAATAAATCAAAAGTAGCAGTCTTGTTAAAGCGGCAAGGTAGCCTTATAGAGAGAATTAGCTTGTATATGTTATAAATTATTTAAAAATGTAAATTAGACATATATAAAGATCGCCTTTTAAATATGGATATACATATATTTTATCCGTATTATTAAAAGATCTGAGAAATTATTTTAAATATAAATTCCGACAGACTTTATATAAGGCAATACATTGTAAAATTTAAGAAATACAGAATAAATTAAACATAAATATAAAATATGTAAATCAAATAAAATTTAAAAAAAATCCTGAACACTTTAAAGTAGTTTGTGCTGTAAATCTCATAAATATAAATATAATATATAACAATTATTGCTATCAATAACATTAAATCAAAAGAGACATATATACATACATATATTTTATCCGTATTAAACGGTGGTCCTAGAAACTTACTTAGTACTTAGTCATTATTTGAGCGAGTAACGAAATTCTTATTCTAGTTGAATCCGGAAGGGTTTTCATTACTAATTTTGAACGAAGAACAAGGCCAGGTTTGAGATACTTTTTGGTTTTTAATTATCATTTAATTTATAGATTAGCATTGGTATCGATAAGTCTGGTTAAGGTCTTGGGAGTTGCGAAAAACTAACTATATTTATAGAGAGAGAGAAAATATTATTTTTGTATTTTGTTTCTGTAGATAACCTGTTGAAAATAAATATGTAATAATAATTTTACACTTAAGAAAAACTATTTAAATTAAATGTTATTCTGAACTTGAATAATTTTATATAAAAAACTGGAATGCATTGCATATCTTAAGGTGTTTTTAAAGTTGTTTTGTATATTTTTGGGATAGTACAGAAAAACACATAGAAATTGCATGTAGACTGTATATTTATAGGTAAATATCAATAAATATAATTTATTTTCATGGAAGCTTAAGAACAAAGTATATGGGTAATGTGAACAATAATATTTTATGTATTAATTTTTCAATTTTGAATACTAAATATATAGTCAAAGCTTTTTTTTTCTATTTTAAAGTTTTGAAAATATTCAATTAAATTTAAAAATTTAAAGTTAATTAAAAATACAAAAAAAAAAGTTTCGAGCTCCCAATAGAGCATGCGAATAGAAGCGGCGAGTCTCGACATCAAAACATAATCAAATACTCAGCGGAACCAACTAAGACAATAAAATGAGACAAGAAACAGGTCGAGTGGGCCCACCAACAGCTGGCCTGGCCTGGCTGTTTAGGCCCGAAAGAGCCAAGAGCCAAGAGCCAAAAGCCAAGTTAAGAAAGTGCTCAAAATGTTTTCCATTTCTTCTATCGCGCAGCCATTTCGACCATTGTGAATCTCGGTGGAATAATGGAAAAAGGCAACAAAAATAGAAACAGCGACGGTCTGAGCCGAGTCGAGGCTCTATGCTTTTTTTGCATCGCCGTTCAGTCGAATTTGTGACTCCAGCCAAGGCGGACGTGGGACGTGATCGTGAGTGTAGAGGCTCTGGCCAGCATAAAGTTCAGATAATAGGCGCCTTGCGAATCGAAATCCGAGACGGCGGAAGATCGAGAGAGAGAAATTCAAGCGAATTTCATTTGCATTTCCATCATTAACATGTATAACTGAGCTCCAGCTATAAAAGTGATCAAAACGTGCATTTACGTGGTGTGCCACAGCCCTAATCAGGCATAATCCAGCCGCGCATGCGCAGAGAATCCATAATACCCGTAATCCAAACCCAAATCGCAAACTTCCTCGCACGCGTTTAATTGCCAAGGGCGACAGATCCATCATCATGACTGCCCCACCGGGACTTCTCCACATGGATAATCCTCTGACAGCCTTCCTTCAGTTCTTCCTCGACCTGATAGTGTTTGGCATTAAATCTATATTTTACATAATGGAATCGGTCTACTATACCCTGTTGCCGCAACGTTTTAGAAAGTTAAAGGTAATCTGATCGTCAAAAGTCAAACCAAATGTCGCATGTGCATAATTTAAATAGCATTTTGATAGACTTTCTTTCTCGACTCGGTTGACCCTGGCTGAGTGTGGATTACACAACGAAAAAATCCCGCAAGACACCCACAAAAATTTGTATTTTTTTTTTTTTTTAATCAGCTTCCAGGTAGCCCCTTGAGATCAATCAATGGCTGCATAGAGCTACCTCAAAGCCATTTCTCTTGTTTTTCTTTAGCCAAACTTCAATTTTTTGGCAGTTTCACAAACCCTAATGAGCCACGCGCAATTTTTTTGTGGTAATAAAAACAAAAAATGTTCGAGCTTCGATTGAATCAAGCCATTCGAATTGTTAATGCTCTTTGCAAAATCAATATTTTATTTAATTTAATTTAGTTGTCCAGCTAAGTTGTTTATTTTTACAAATTTATGAGAAACTTTTTTACTATTATATTACTTAGTTGACCATATACCCTCTAATTTATGTGTTACATTTTAGCATAACAATAATTATCCAGCGCTTTAAAGTATTCGTTGAAAAAACGTTTAAACAAATCTCTGGCTTTGTTTTGATTTGCTTCGATGGCTAAGCAATTTTGTTCACACGCTTTGCTGGCTTATTCATGAATGAATAAAAACTCTTCTCTATTTACCATATTTTTGGCATCTTAGCTACCTAAGCGAGCACTTAAAAAATTTGTTTAAATATTTGCTGTGTTATGGTGGACTTTAGGCTGCTTGATTTTCAATTAACCAGGCCTTAGGATGACATTGAACTTAAGCTATTTACTGTTTTTTGGGAACAAACATTTTTCTTGGTTAAATGCATCTTCAGACCGAAAATATATATTCGTGACTGGAAACTCTAAAGTAGAAAACCACCTTAGTATGACAACGAGTTTTTCCGCATCTATCAACCATCTGTGTGTGCAATGCCTTTTCCTTGGGCTTTATTACTATGGAGTTAGTTAGTGAGCTCCACGCTTCACGTACACTTAATGTGGAAATTTCCTAGGAATATACTTGTATACATTATTGCAAAAAGGAAAAGTTATGACTTGTCTAGCAGGGAGAGCTCTTTAGCTCCTCCTTCCCTTAGATGAAGGGTATTGAACCATGTTCGGCTTGAGTGAACTTGGTCACAGCTCCAATAGCAATACTTGCAACACACACTTCTTTTATTATGGTTCGAACTGATGTGGCAAGACAGTTTTATGCCAAAATAAAATAAAAGAAATATTTATGCAAAATGTTGAGCGTCATAAAATGCAACATCATGGCGCAGTCGCACCTTTTTCGTATGCTAAATAGGTTTGCTTATATGATTTCCGACTTCAACACCTAAATGGAGGCAAGGTGGTTTGTAGGGAAATTACTTTTTTAAATTAAAAATTAAATGGAAAGATAGAAATTTAGGAATAAATAAGATTCATTATTGCGATATGATGTATTTGTAAATATCAAAATAGATATAGGAAGTTTTTTTATTATTTACAAAATTACATGATTTTTATTTAAAAATTTTAGTTTATTATTGTTTTTATTATATTATTATTAAATTATAACTTATTTATACATTCTCCAGTTCACTTCTTTGTGTAGGCTTAGAAACTTATCACAATAGTTAATGTTTTCTCTTTACAAAATACTCAAAATAAACCCCAAACTAAACCCCATTTCACTTTCAATTGTCCACAGAACATCTCCGGTCAGGTAGTGCTCATCACAGGCGGCGGAGGTGGCGTTGGTCGCTTGATAGCCCTAAACTTTGCACGCCTACAAGCCCGCATTGTCATCTGGGATATCAATCAAGAAGGTAAGGCTCCGTCTTCGACTTCCACTTCGCACCAGCATGCTAAGTGCTTGGTCACAGCTTCTGCACAGCGGGTCAAGAAACCCCAGTCGGGCGGCGAGTGAAAGCTGTTACATTTACAATTTTGATTAGCTCTATTTGACAATAATTTTCCGTGCAGCCATCAAGACAACCGTGGATTTGTTAGCCAAGCATGGTTATGACAACTGCAAGGGCTATGTGGTGGACATCTCAGATCGGGAGCAGGTCTACCAGCGAGCCAGCCAGGTGACAGCGGATGTGGGCCCCGTGGACATATTGATCAACAATGCAGGCATCGTTTGCTGTAAACCCTTCTGGGAACTGCACGATCGTGTGATCCAGAATACATACAACATCAACATCATCTCGCATTACTGGACGGTGAAGGCCTTCCTGCCCCACATGATGCGGAATAATCGCGGTCACATAGTCACCGTGGGCTCGGTCACGGGAATGCTGGGCACTTATGGTTGCAGCGATTATGCAGCCACCAAATATGCTTGCATTGGTTTTCATGAAAGCCTTTTAACGGATTTGAAGGCTCATGGCTATGATCAAATCCAGATGAGTCTGATCTGTCCGTATTACATCAACACGGGCATGTTTTCAGGGGTTCGTCCGCGCATGATGCCCATGCTGGAGCCTCAGTATGTGGCGGATCGTATTGAGAATGCTGTCCGCTGCAATGAGGTGTGGTGCGTTCTGCCCAACTCCATACGCCTGCTGACGCCTCTCAAATGGTAAGTAATCCTTCTTATTTGGTATGCTTATTGTGACTATGGTTTTCCTTTTTGTTTCAGTCTTTTGCCCGCCAAAATGTGCTGGGAACTAATGTCGCGGGTTATCCGAGGTCCTGAGTCCATGATGTTGTTCCAGGGACGTGGTCGCGTTGCTGCTGGTTAGATCTGCAAAAGTAGTAAAAACATTTGACATTATTTATAGTTAATAAGTTGTTTTCAAGAGGCGTTTATATATAAAGTTATAATCAATTTAAAGGAATAAGAAAAGTCTTCTCAAACTCACCTCTTTTGTAGCATATCCTTTCTTTTCCTGCTAATCCCTCACCGTAGTCTGCTGGTAGTAATGCGGAGCCAGTTCTGTGAGCCACTCCCTTTTGATCACCGTCACATGATTCATAAACAGCTTCGTTGTCTGGAGCAACTCCCCATAGACCACATACTGGGCCTGGGGTAGCGTGTACAACGTGGAGTTGGGATGAATGGCTAGCTCAGTTCCGCTACTAATCTGCCTGTAAACCCCCGAGTGATGCAGATAGGCCACCTGGGTAAAGAAGCCCGCGGTGATGCACTTGCACAGTGTTTCCACATCGCCCTTGCACGAGAAGATGGGAATGCCATACTTCTTCCGCGCCAAGGTTACCAACTGCTCCCTCAGCTCATACGCCCGCTTCATGTTCCTATAGATGAGATAATATTGGCCGCAGAACTCCTTGGTCATGCCCTCCTCTACAAATCCCGTAAAGACGTTCAGGAGTGTGATGAAGTCTCCCTCCGCCACTTCGAAATGTCGATGGGCAATCCTTCCACTTTGCTGGGCCACGGCCGAAACGGGACGCGAGAAGACAGACTGCACTTGGAGCATGGCAATGATGGTGATGATCTCCTCAGAGCAGCCCATCTGACCGGATACGAAGAGCATCTTTGAAAGCATCGCGCTGAAGGGCAGCTCGGCGAGAAGATAACCCACGGGTTTGGTGAGATTCCCCTGCTCGTTGATGGCGTCCAAGGCGAAGAGGGTTTCCAGAGCAGAGAGCAGATTCTGTGCTGGCGGCGGGGATGGAAAATCAAAGCGCAGTATATTGGCAATTCCCAGAGCCTTTAACTGGAGAACAGCTCCGCTCATCTCGCTCCGTCGCATCTCTGGCGGTTGTCGCGGAGCCAACGCTTCATAGTCTGCCTTGGTGTATAGCCGATATACCTTTCCGGGACGCATTCTACCCGCTCTACCTGCTCTCTGCACCGCCGAAGCCTTGCTCACCGGCACCACCACAAGGCTGTCGCTGCAGGTCTTGGGATTGTACCACTTCACCTTGACGTAGCCACAGTCGATGACATAGACGATACCTGGAATGGTAATGGAGGTCTCCGCTATGTTTGTGGCCAGCACCACCTTCCGCACTCCTTTGGGTGGTGTGAAAAACACTGCCAACTGATCCGTGCTTGACATGCTGCCATACATGGGTAGCACTTTGAGGTTCTGTTGCTCCGAACTGGCTATATACTCGCGCAGGAGATCCAGGGCCTCTAGAACCTCCTCCTGGCCAGTGAGAAAGGCCAAGATGTCGCCGGGTGGCTCCTTTTGGTGCAGCTTCCACACCGTTTCCACGGTTTCCTTGACGTAGTCGGCGCAGGGTTCGTTCAAGTAGAAATTGCTTACAGCATGCATACGTCCTTCGATGCTGAGCTTGACGCTTACCTCTCCTGATCCTGGCCAGCTGAAGAACTCGCTGAAGAAGCCCGCGTCAATAGTGGCCGAAGAGATGATGAGCTTGAGGCTGCTACGTTTGCGCAGGATCTTCTTGAGCAGTCCCAAGACCATGTCGGTGAGCATATTGCGCTCGTGGGCCTCGTCCACAATGATGACTCCGTACTGGGTGAGCAGGGGATCGGCGAGTAGTTCTCGCAGCAGGATGCCCTCGGTCATGAACTTGATCTTGGTCTCTGAGGTAATCCGTTCTAGAAAACGCACCACATAGCCCACAGTGTCGCCCACGAGTTCGCCTCGTTCCTGGGCCACGCGATTTGCCAGAGTAACCTGGGGAGGATTGGAATTTAGTTTTGGAAATTTTTAAAACAAAAAGAGATGCTTACTGTGGACACCCGCCGGGGTTCGGTGATGCCAATCAGGGCCTTGGAGTGCCAGCCCCATTCGTACAAATACTGGGGTACCTGTGTGCTCTTGCCACTGAAAACATACAAAAAACCAACAAGTTAAAGTAATTCCTTGACTTGCATTAACATCTCTCTCACCTGCCCGTCTCGCCCACTAGGATCACCACCTGGTGCTTCTCTAGGCAGTACAAAATCTGATCCCGGTACTGTCGTATGGGCAGGCGCTCCCGCTAAAATTAAATGTTTAGTTTTTATTTATTATATTAAAAATGTTTTATTGCCATTGTTTACCTGTTCCCCCAAGCCCAGGTTGTGATGGGCATTGAAAACGAAGGCCGAGGACTGCTGCTCGCCGCCCACGTTGTCCGATATGGCATCGTCTGTGTCTGGTTTTAGAAATTTCGGCTTAAAAGTAGACATTTCCTATTATTTCACCAAATTTTTAATTGTTGTTATCAAGCAGTGTGACCTTGTCATATTTATTTTCAAACCGGATTTCCGCCTACACGGCAGCTGGTCACTTATAACACCCGGAAAAGGGACGTTTAGTGCAAGCTGGCTGCTATGAGACTCAAAAAAATACGTTACTTTTATTATATATTATATATTCTTATATATTCCATTGTTAGATATTTAATTCTAATAAAGAACTACCATTTATTTAAGAAACCGATTATTTACAGTTTTAAAAAGCTGAATTTAACAAATAAATATGGTAATAGAAATCGAATACTTAGTAAGTTTAGGGCTGCGGAAGGTATAAAAAAAATGATCTTGCCTAGTAATTTTCAACGATGCACCTGTATTATTTATATACCTGGTTTTGGGCCATTTTGTAACTGTAAACTGCAGTGGCCCTAACATGTCCCCTGAAATATAAATGAAAATAACTCTAATTGCCAGGGGCAAGGCCACTGTTATTCTATGCATATATTTATATATACATACGTACATGTACATATGTATGTCATCCATTATGTGAGTGTTGTGGTGGCCACGTGTGTGCGTCAAAAGTGTCCCCAGCGTGCAGCTGTCGACGACAGAAGCGCCCGGCCAATTGCTTTTGAATAAATATTGTATATCCTATCTCGGTTGGGCAACAAAAAACATTACATTGTAAACCGAACCATTGTCTCTCCCCTATTTTTCGTATTATTTTGATTTATGCAACGTGTCCGCATGCATTATACGTATATACCCCAAATATGAGGGCCAATCCGACGAATTGGCCATAGCACACATGCAAAGGGCCCCCTGCATTGACCCTGACATTAAGACCGCTCGCTCACTCGCTCGCCTTAACTTTAACCCGCCGAGCCCCGAACACGTGCCAGACATGCACGTTTGACCAGCCACCCAGACCACATCCGCATGCGAGCGCTGAAACAATGGCTCCACTTTATCCTCCGTCCCCCCCAGACCCCGGGTCGTATGAGTAATCCCCAGAAAAGCTAATTAAAGGCCAGCAGCAGCGAACTTCATGCCAAGGACGAGTCGCCGAGTCGCCAAAGTGAAGGCAAAAAGCCGCCGAAGCCAAAAACTCTTCGAGCAGTTTGTCAACACCGCAATTCGAGGAAAGCCCCCAAACTGTAGGGCACTGCGAGAAACTAGGACCCAATTTAATTTATTTCTAAATTTGCTACATTTCTTAAAAGGTTTTTCAAGGTTTCAACATAAAAATACTGTCTTTAGGAAAACGTTTCTAAACTTTGATTATTAAAAGTATGCATACATAATATTTTTGAACAAAATGTAAACTAAAAATGTATCTTTAATATTTTTTAAATTGTATTAAACCATTTAAATTTATGTATTTTAATGATTTATAAAAGTATACATGATCTCTTCTTTGTGTGCGCATACAAATGACGAATTGCTGCGGATTATTTTCTATTCCACGCTTAACTCATTTAGGCAATAAAATCCCACATTGATAGCCATTGTTTACATCGAATGGTTATTGTTATCCCCCATTTCCGTGCAGTGCTTATCTGTCTGCTGTCGTCCAGTTCCACAGCTCTCAGTTTCGGTTGCATATAAATTTTAATAAATGCCCCCAAGGACAGAGTTTTACTACTGTCAAATGGCTGTCGGCACCTCCTCAATTCACTTCTGGATATCCGGACTCCCGAACGACGGATCCATCAGGGCACCTGACTAAATGCCATAGACCCCGTTAGACGGCATGAAAGCTAACAGTTATTCTCACTTTTACGAGCAAAGTTTCCTTGGAAATGCCAAGGAATTGGAGCTCGGGGTGGTAACTAGCTATTGTAACTGCTGTATCTATTATAACTATAGTTTGGCGATGACGACTATGGATTACAAACCCCGGAGTTATGCGTCCTCGACACCCAGCAAGTGGTGCGAAAAGGGGACGAAAGGGGCTGGCGTCATTGTCTTTGCGTGCTCGGAATTTGCGTGATTCATGATGCATGTCGAGGCGGAAAAGTCGCAACTCGAATGCAGCACACAGACACAAACTAAGGACCTCCGAACAATCCCAACACCCCAAACACTGAGGGCGTGTTTTTATATCTGGAATTTGTAGGATATAGAGAAGGGTATCTTGTATTCGTTGAGGTGTGTGCGAAGGACATATTTAGATTCTTTATACGATCATGTTAATTAAAAATGTTTACCTTCAATTATGCAACAATAGTTCTTTTAATTACAAAAAAAACTTTTAACTTTTCATTTTCTATCCACATACCAAAAATGAGATCAATCCTACTATTAGTTATATGAAAAAATGCTTTATCTTCGTATAACGTAATATTCCCTTATCCCACCACCAAAAAGTATGCTAGGATTTTTTGCAAGCAAAGGGTAATTTATGGTCGTTGTGCTCTTTTGTAAATGTTGTACTAAGTTTGTGAAATTTTTTTTTTGCGCGTCTTCATGTCTGCTTTAATTACTGGAACTGGAAGTAGTACTAGTACAACTGAAACCGAAACTTGTCCCTGCACCACTTAATGCCAATAAAAATGTCAATTGCACACTCACTCACGTTGGGTGGTGGTGACCTTGGGCCGGCGGAACGTTTTCCGGTCAAGTCCGCGTCCGTCGGATTCGGATTGGATGGGTTTGGGGAGCACCAAACACATATCAGTCCAAATTATGCCGATTAAAATGGATTTTTTGCGGCACCAACAGCTTTTCGTCCTCACAGCTGAGCGGCGTAAACAAAGCAAGAACAACAGGCCGCTCGAAGAGAGAGAGGGAGAGAGAGAGAGAGCGAAAAAAAGGATGGGGAGTATGGCGAACGGAGAGCGGGAGAGAGCCGGCTTTGGTGACACGTGCTCCGAAAGTGTCGGTACTACGTGGCGTATACGTATTGCGCTGACGCCGTGGCCATTTTCCCATTTGTTTGCTTTTTCGCCGCTGTGCTGCTTGGGTGCTTTGGTGTGCGGTTTCGTTGGCCTAATGTGTTTTGAAAACGCATCCCAATCCAGCACGAATATCCACGCTGCTCCGGTGTACAGTTACGTTACGCTGGGCAACGTGCAAAACAAAAGCCAAAGCTAGAACCAAACTCAACTCCTGATCCAGCAAGGAGTTGGAGTGAGTCAAACGGTCGGCATTTCGCCTGCCACTCGCGTGCTCTCGCTCGCTCTCGCATTTCTCCCAAAGAAAGAGAGCCCGTCCGATGGGGATGTGGCAACATGTGAGTAAGTACAAATACAATTGCAAGGCGTCAGTGGGAGGTAAACAGAAAGAGGACGAGCGAAAACAAAGAGCGCGTACACAGCGAGAAATCGCAAGGATAAAACAGGAGTAAGCTAAAGGAAGGTACAAGCCAGATGTTTCTGGTAAAACAAGCTTAAAATAAAAAGGATTATATAAGCAACCAAAAAGTATTGCATACTTCAAGGGACCACGACATTGTATTGCTTGGAGGGTGTAATAAGTTTGTTCAGAAGTTTACAAAGTAATAAAGTAGTCGTTTCCGAACCTACATATAAAGTCTATATATTCCTGATCAGCATCATCGTGTCCGCTTCTCAGTTTTTCTATTTATTTGATCAAAATCCATTCATATTCATTCAATAGCAACCTGCAAGGAAATCCAAACTTTGAGGAGCCAAAGTTATAACTTCCTTTCTTTATTTATTTAATTTTTTCATTTAGCAGACTACATTTATGAGTCAATATGGTGTAATGAACTACATACCTTTAAAACGTGTTTCTGAGGAAGTCTAAATTTCCAATTAAAAAATTAAACAATTACTCATTAGCATGCCGAATAATGACCAGCTGTTTTTCCTCAATTGCAATTATTTTTGCAAGTGCACCTAAAAGAGAATGAGCAGCTAAGTAGAATGTAGCTGAGGGATGGAAATGGAGCCTGAGAGCATGAGAGAGCGAAACGAATCACGAAGGCGAAAACTGCCACGTTGCAGTTGCCTTCGTTCTCGAATTTGCAAGCGTTGCACAGTGGGTCGAAGACTAAATGGGTTTTTGAAACACTGGTATTTTCGAGAATAGTGTTCTATTTCATACATAGTAGGACGAATTACTAATCTTGAAAATGGTGTTTAACTGCATTCCCTATTTTAGGTACTGAAAAAAACAGGTTTAGACATTAAGAAATATTTTAATTGTTTTTCTGAAATCTCATGATAACAAGGTCCTTGCAAGGGACAAATAAAAAACAAACCCTTTAGTTTATTGGATTGTCTTCCGGTTGAATGTAATATAACTAACATAACTATAACTAGCATAACTATAACTAAATTAAATTTAAAACTATCTTTAGTTCGTAAAAATGTTGACCCTTTCAGACTTTCTTGAACAAACTCGAACCTTTTGTTTTGCAGCAAAAGTCTTGGAGTTATGCCACTGTGCAACAGCGTCAGCAACAACAACAGGCTGCTGTGAAAAACAGCAACATCTGCTGCTGCTGCTGCCTTCATTGCTGCGGCTCCTTGGGCCGCGAAATCAGTTCGTTGTCGTCAGTCAGTCAGTTCAGTTCGGTTTCCCAGTCAGCCGCAGCAGCAGCACCACAGTCCGAGAAAAACCATCCAAGGCAGCGAATTGGAGCAGGAACAACAACATCAGCAGTAGCAGCAGCAGCGGCTTGAGCAGCAGGAAAAAGTAGCAGCATTGCCAGCAGCATTAGTAGCAATAGCAGCCACAAACAAATCCGGACTCAGTGGATGCAGAAAGTTCCCCAACTAAAGCAGCCAAAATCGAATTAGTCGAACTCGAGAGGAAACTCAATTCCACGGTGCGTGAACTGTCCCCGTGGGTGTGCGTGTTCTGTCGGTGCGTGTGTGTTTGTGTGCGTGAGTGTCCTTGGCTGGCTGGCCAAAAACAAAAACAAGAAAGCAGAGAAAACAGAGAACACAGAAAGCTGAAAACGTAGGAGTAACCGTCAAAAAAAATAAAAGCTAGTGCGAAATTCGGAACAGGCGCCGCCGCCAGAACTCCGGCACAGGCATAGACCATACATATGCACTGCAGCAAATCAGGCCAGGCCGCAGCAGGAAAATCAATGCTCGGTTAAAGCCACAAATTGCACAGATAGACGCGCGCCGCGAATCAAAAACGATAAAGAACCAGCGAGAATAATAATCGACTGCAAAACTCCGAACACCCCCTCCAGCCCCACTCCACTTCGCCCCCCTCCGGTCGCCATGTTGTTGGGCTAGCACACACACACACACACATAGCAAAACGCACGCAGTAAAATCGCCTGGACAGCAGCAGCAGCCAAGCTGAGCTAACTGTAAAAAGCAAAGAGACGCCGCCTGGTTAGGCCATCAGTGTGGAGGTGCAACGGGGGCAAGCGGACGAACAGGAGAGACAGGGAAGAAGCGACGCAGAGAGCAGCAGCAGCGGCAGCCCAGCAGAGCTAACTGTATTCAGGAAGAGGCTGCTGCCACAACAGTAGCGTCCATCAAGTTAGGCTCACCCCAATAATCAATCGCAGCCGAGGAATAATCAATCGCTCTCAAGCCTGCCGACATCTCCATTCAAAAAAGGCCTAACCAAAGCAGCGAAGTAAATCAAGGAAAGAACATAAGCACCACAAGCCAATTCCAGAAAAGAAAATCCAAGAAAAACGAAATAAATAGGAAAAACTATCAACAAAAAAATTTTAATAATATAACTAAATTTTCTAATGAAGACATCTGTGATTTGCCTATAAAAAAACATAAATTTATAAAAACCAAACAATTATTTTCATACTGCACTTTTTCAAAAAACCAAAAACAAAACATAACTAAAAACAAAACCGAAAACAATTTATTTAATAAATTTCAAAGCATAGATAACGAATAATTCGGTGAGAGTATAAAATAGAAAATAAATAAATATATCGCGCACGCAACGCTGACACGCCTCGAGGATAAAGACGAAAAAAAAAAACCGCAAACTAAGACGAAGCCGCACCACACCAAAAGCAGAAACCGCAGCGGAGGCAGCCACAAATTCACACAAGGTCAACGGAATTAATATTTTTTGTAAGTGGTTGTGTTGCAGAATCTGATTTTTCGATTTAATTGAGAAGATGTCGCTAACTTTTCTGCGCGCCATTCCCGAAAATGCACATGTGCATGTCAATTAGCGTGGATTCGCCCCAAAAATCCGCGTCTGCAATCAGCGGACAGATAACTTAAAAATTTGCTCTTCGATTGTGGTGTACCCTTTAAATTCATAAATTTAATGGTACTTTCCCTTTTGATTCATTTTCTACCTTTAAAGTTACTAGATTAATTCTTTCGAAATTAAGGGAAAAAAGATTAAGTCAATAAGATGTCTCTTTTAAATGGCTAAATTTATTAAAATCAAGCAGACTTTAAGGAAGCTTCAATAAATTGTTTAACTACTTTGACTTTGCTCTTGTACAGTTTGTACTTCATTTCTATATTTAAATGACAATATTAAAAGTGTTATTTTAAAATCAATTTCCAAAGAACTTTCATTAACCTATTTGTCCTCAATACCACACCCCCACTATGTTAATTAAATTCACATTTCTCATAATTCTTCTTATATTGCCATTAAACATTATGTGTACTTCCCCTTGCCATCTTATTTATTAATCTCTTATCCCTTAACGAGTTTGTGGCCGCCTGTCTTTACCTTCTGCCTTCCATTGATCCTTGCAATGTATTTTTTAGCCAGAATTCTTTCTTTTTAAATGTCATTGATCCTTAACAGGAATTCCTTAGCTGATCCCTTCGGATCCCTGTATTATCTACTCATTTTAAATGTTCTTCTTTCCTTATATTCCTTTTATAACGTCTACAAGCTACCTGAAACTCCTGCCCTCATTCATTCAAGTTCTTTGCGTGCATTATTTTCGTATCCTCCTTTGTTTGCAAATTCCTTGTTCCTGGAATTCCGCAAAACTGAGCCTGCCCTTCAACCCCGCCTCCCTTGGCATTCTGCACGTATTACCGCGATTCCGTTTTGTATATCGCATTCAAGGGATGCCAACTCATGACCAATTCATGATGCCCTTCCGGCCAAGGGTATTAAAATTTAACGCATCACAGCCATATGGCAACTCAATAATTAGGCCGAAAAAAAAGACAAACGTAACCGAAATAAATTGGCTGGCAAGTGCGATAGCATGCCACAGGTAGAGAGGGCGGAAAGGGACTCGGAGTGGGCGAAACTGGGCGCCGAATAGGGCTTCGGTTCGGGAATGGGACTGCTGTGAATACGACAATTCCGACTGGGACATTCTTTGGGCAACGTGCGGCACCTGCGGTGTCTGCTCGTCTACTTTTCAACCCTTAGGGGGTGTCGCTGTGAAATGTCAACGGTATTTTTATCCATAAAATAAACAGAGCTGTCATATCAGAGCAGCACTCCTCTAGAGCGCGCCCACCTTCACTATTTCTTGTCACAGTGAAACTCACTACTTATACACTTGCACGAAAAGAAAATTGGTAACAAAAACAAGGTATCAGGGGGGAGTCCTTAATCACTGGGGTGTATGAAACAACATTTTACTTTTCGATTTATACCTCTTGCCACATATATGTATAAGAGTTAAAACGCCTTGGCAAAGCCCTTAAAGCCCTTATAATATTTACAAATAGTCAAATTAGGTAATTATAATCAATCTCAAAGCATTAAACCATTAATTTTACTCATGTAGTAGTTTCTAATCACCAGTTAAGGCTTTAAAAGGAATGCTATAAACATTTACATTTATTCTTAAAATCATAGCATAGTTTTTGGTGCTTTTAGATAGGAAATTGTAAGTCTAAAACACTTCGAACACTCGCTGAAATATATTAAATAATTTAAAATGCTCAGATTAAGTAATTAATATTTCAAATTATTTCATACTTTCAGAAATCGTAAAACAAGATCTAATATCAAAAATCGAAACTTTAATCTAATTAATTTATCTTAATTATTATTTTCCCCTGTGCACAATGAATAATGCCCTCTTGTTAACAGGAATAGCAAATACTCATGTCTGATATTGATTTTGTTTTCCCAAAAGACATTTAAGTGTGTTACATAGCACCGTCTGAGCCGGAGCAGACGTGATACGGATACGTGGCATATCTTGGCCAGTAGTCTAGTCCTCCGGCCTCTCCTCCTCCATGCTCAAGTCCTGCCCCATCCCACCTTGGGTTATGTACAACATGACTAATACTAATTCCAACCAGCATGTGCGCCATTATTACGTTCGCTTTGGGCGGCATAGCGCACAAATAACTGCAATAAATAGTCATAGTAACCCCTGGCGGCGGGGCACGGAGAGGAATGGAATGGCACATGCCACGGACGAGTGAAGGATAATGATATTTGGCGCAATCGTCAATCAATCACAATGGCCATCAATCAAAAAGCAGTGCAAAAACAAGAACGAACGGAAAAACGCAAATTAAGTGGGAAAATATTACGGAATAAAGATAAAAAACAAAGAGCACTTAAACTTTTAGTTCCGATTAAAAGTTTTTTGGTTTGATGACTAATTTGCAGAGAAGGTCGCATTTCTCTATAAATATATTGAAATAAACGTATAATTATCTCCAAAATCACCAATAGCAATTAAGTTTAAACCAATCTTGTCATCAAATATCGACAGTAATTGAGCTAAATTTTAGTTAATCGCATTAAATTGATTATTGGGGAAATTTTGATGGTGATTACCTGTTTTGGCATTGCACTCTCCTGCTAATTTGGCTCAATTGCCGATGTCCTTCCGATGCACAAGCAATTTGCATGGCTAAGCAGCTTGGGGCCATAACTGTCGATGTTTGGTTGCGGGAAATCCCGATTCGCATATTCCTTTCGAGCCATTTGCGGCAGATCATCCTCAACATCCGGACGTGTGTGCACCCCGGTTTCCCTTTCACTGTTTCACTTTTCCGACTTTTCATTCACCTTGTACGACGGCCTTGAAAGAGGCCAAAAATGGTCATAAAGGGACTAGCAATAAACAAAAAATTCTAAAATAAGAAGAAGGCCAGGCTAAACTTTAACCTGCATTTATTTCTCGTTACAGAAATGGAAATCATTCCTGAAGGTAAACACTTTCGTTTGGTGCATGAATCAGAGCTTCCAGAAATTTTGGTAACTTTAGAACGCTATTTGCCGGAATCATTAAAGGTGCGTATTAATTCCGTTCGCTCATTTTATGTTTTCTGTTACATATTTTTTTTTAACTTTTGGGGAAAATTAAACCCAGACTGAGACACCAAGACCACGCCCAGTTCTCAGATAATTTACCAACAATTACCTGCATTTTCCCCCATCGAGCTTGGCATTCAGAAGGCGTTGCCGAGACCACAAGTCATGCAATCTCAAACCCTCTGCCAGGCCGGGCTCGCATTTTTCTGTTGACCTGTTTTCGCTATTTACACTTGTATTTTTGTTCAATTTTTAATGCCAATCCCCTTGTTCCCTCCGCCCTGCACATCACGTGCTTTTTCTGCTTTTCTCGTTGGGGGAAAGCAGGGTGGAGTTTCGGCTTGGCACCGGCCTCAAGGATTTGGCCACCATTGGAGTTGGCCAAAAGTTTCGATTTTTAGCAAGAAAAGTTTTTCCTTTTTGGGGCGTTTGCCAACAGCTCGGAGAATGCGAAGTCAAAGCTTTTGCAAGCGTTTAGTAATTGTTAAATATGGAAAGTGCTCAAAAGTATAAGTATAGGGTGGACCTTTAAATTAATCTTGTATGTTTTTAATAATTAGTATCAAGCACGATAAAATAAATCAAGTTTAAAGGCCATATATAATTAAGAATTAGAGTTTACACTTTAAAAAAGAGAGAAGTCTTAGCTTAAAATACATTTATAAAATCTTTTGAAAGGGTTTCGATCTTTTTGAAACATGTTATATCATTAAGAATAAAGAATTAGAATTTGCACTTAAACAAAAAAAGAGAAGTATTTATTTTTAACTTTATTGTTATTTAATTTTCCATAAAGTTCACATTTTAAGGTCAGGAAAATATCTAAATATATTTTAAAAATTAATATTAAATCTGATATCCTTTTCGCAGTTTCATCAAACCATAAAAACGTACCTGAATGATCGTATTTGGGATTTCAAGTTTTATGTTGCTAAAGATTGGCCCGACAAACCGATAATTCTCCATTTTCCAGGATGCACGCTTGCGGTGAGTCACTCATAACCGAATTTTTACACCCGCAACAAATTAATAAATATTTAATAATTAATTTACAGCCGCACAACAATATATACCAAACGCTTGGCATATTTTGTCCATCCGCACACATCGAGCATGTCGATATGCTGCGCACCGAAGATGTACTTATAGATTGGCAGAAGCCTATGTACCTGAACTTTACGCACATCGCCATTATGAATCGCCTGGATGACTTCTACTCCAAGTTCGGTGTGATGGAACGACTCAGTGGTGATATCTACGTGTGCAACAAGCTGAACGCCGATCTGGAGCTGGATCCGCTGCCGGAGGATGCGGAGATGCGACTGCTGACACTGGACAATGTCCATGGCATCCACGATCTATATCCTGCCAATGAAATCGAGTGCGTCCAGCTGTTTGACATCCTTGTCCGCAAGCTGCCCGGCCTGGGCATTTTTCGCAAGGACACTGGAGAGCTAGCCGCCTGGATGGTTCACTCCTACTATGGCGCCATGTTCTCAATGCAAACACGTCCAGACTTTAGGCGAATGGGGTAATATTAATAATGATTTTGTTAAAAAGAAAAACATGAGAAACTAATCCTTTATTGCTCCTTAGCTATGGCATCCGGCTGGCCAAGTCACTGACCCAGCTAGTGATCGAGCGCGGCTACACGCCCTTCGTTGTGATACGTCCAGGAAACGATGCGTCCCGTAATCTGTACACCAAGCTGGGCTATGAGAAGGCCTTCGAGACTTGCCGGGTCCGGATGACGCCGGACTGTTACGAGGACAGCACCGTGGGCACAATTGGGAACACATCCTACGGCAAGTTTCCGCCGCTGCCGCAGGGCGAGTGCGTGGTGGTGACCAAGCTGGCGCGAAAGCATGTGCCCGGCGAGAGCCAGACGGTGGATGAGGGCATCGAGGATATGTTGGCTGAAAAATGTGATATCGGCGGCGATGAGGCGAGGGAGCGCAAGACCACGACCGACGAGGGCATCGGCGAGGACAAGTAGGCCAGGATGCACCACATAGAAATGGAGATGGAAGGTGGATAGAGATCGATCGGAGCGCTACGCCTACGCTAAACTTATGCTTAAAGCTGTAAGCACCCCTTAGGACTCTTTAGGACAGGATGGAAATAAGAATGGAAGGCAGGACAAGGCACACAACAAGTGGCGTTGATTTTTTAAACAAAATTATATTAACGAGAAAACAAACAACAAAAAAAACCAAGGAGAAACTGTACGAGTATATTTATAGATGGTATATGAAGCTTCCTCACTCAGAACGCGATGGCGTCGATCCGTGACACGTGAATTTCGGCCGGAATCAAGGGATTTATTTTATATGGGTATTTCATTATATATATATATACATGTATATATATGTAGGATTCGATGTCAAGCACTAAACAATAACAGGGGGGAATGATTATGAAAGCGCTGAAGTCCGAAAATTTTAAATGAAAAATATGGTAACCCGGAACAAATACAGAGAGAACCGAAAACAGAGAGAAATTTTAATTTTTTGCTAAGAATGCTTATACAAAAAAACTGAACAAGAAACACAAACCAACAGCAGACCCAAGGAGCGCATCAATTTATTAAAGAAAAACGAAAAAAAACTAAAAAACTATTATAAATATTAAACTCTATATATCAAATTGTTAAACAAACAACAACAAAAAAAACAAAACATACACACAACTACTTCTCTCTTCTGGCTCTCCTCTAAACAGGAAGATAATTTTTGAATCAATCTCGCTTGGGCCATGGAACAGAGCTTTGCACACAGACACACACACACTATATATTCCTCTCCGTTTCCGAATACCACATATAAAATACAAATATATATTTTTCAAGTAACATTATGGAATACTTTCGATGACCCAAACAAAGTGCTTTGATTTTAAACTACTTTTGGATTTATAGGCTTTTTCAAATTTATATATATACATATACCCAAAAAGAAGCGAAAACTAAAACAAAAATCCAAAAAATAAATATATATATATATTTTATTATTACGAAATTTTATTAAACTATGCAAACACGAGTACTCAATGATTTTTGCTCCTATTTAGCTGATCTGAAACAAAAGGAAAACAAACAAAATGAAACACGCCAAAGATGTCTTCTGCTTCATTTTTAAGTACATACTTCCCCAACTTTTCCCAAACCCAAATCCCCACTCTCTCTCCCTCTCCCTCTCCTATAAATGATGACTCTTGAGTCTTCTGTGGAGGTTTTCTATTATAAAAACAATGCAAAAACCGAATCTCAAAATATGTATATGCAAAAGAAAATCAAATTTAATGAAAAAGTTATATATTACAACTGCTATATTGTATGTACTCGAAACTAAAAAGAAAAAAAAAAACGAATGAGAAACAAAAAAAAAAATAAAACACAAAAAACTGAATGAAGCAAGTTTAAATAAATAACAATATTGAGACAGCAACCTGAAGGTTCTTCCTATATCTCTGAGGGAATAAGATAACACCAAGTAAAGGTAACAATGCAAAAGGAGATAGTTAGGAAGAAAATAAGAAAAATATAGAAGAGGTAAAAAATATTTGAACAAATTATATATTACAAATTATTTATATTTTTATTTTCTCAATCCGGCCTCAGAAAACGTCCTATAAGTCAGTTAGTATTATTATGAATACGGCGCCGTAACTTCAAAACATTTTACGATCTTTACGTAAGTAAAAATTACTATTTTGGATTACAAAATTATAAAACATTGAAGTTACAAGTACGAAAAACCGTAATTTCTGCACTTTTAAGTTTAAATATTTTGAAAAGTTTAAAAGCGTTGCACTTATAGCACCCTCAATTTCCGATTTATTCCCACAATAATTTGCACACAAAACGCAGAAGAAGCACTTCCTAAGCCCCAGCATTAAATTATTTCCATAAATTACGATCTCGGTGGAGAGCGCACTGGTGGAGAGCGCACACTGCGCTAAAGTTATCTGCTGATTGTTAATGAAATTTACGTGTACAAACACTGCTCACTTAGATAAACAAAGAGCGACAGATGCGGCAAACACAAAGACCTACTGACGACGCCCACCTGTCATGTGGCAATGTCTAGGCTGCCATTGCAACTCAGTTTTTATGGTAAATTACATTTTATTTATGTATAAAGAAGACCTAAGTACGTCGTATGTGGACTTAAAACTAAGCAAAAAAATTGCTGGAACTGGGACCTACTAATGCTGCTGCTCCTGCTGCTGCTCGGCGGCCTTGCTCAGCTGGTTCTTTAAATGGGTGGCCACATACTGCCAGTACTTGCGACGGATAACATCGTGCTTGGTGGACAGCTCCTCGCACAGACCGTAGACCTTGCGGGCCAACTGATCGCTTTGGCTAACCTTTTGATTCAAAGCCTGCTCTTGGTATAAATCGACAAGGAAGGCCAACAAATACGGAGACCGGTTGCCGGCCTGATAGATCTCCTCCACGAAGGCCACCACCTCTGGGTAACTGCTCAGTCCTTGGCCTTTGCCACCCTGTCGCATCACACCGACCAGATAGTTCCAGGCACTCTCGTTGTTCTTGATAATCCGAATCCTATTCATCGTGTAGGTAAGCTCCCGCTGGATTAGATCCGGCGAGAAACCAAAATGCTTGATCACAAAGAAGCGCTGGTTCCAGGCTGAATTGTTGCGTTGGTCCTCGCTAATTAAACGGTCCACAAAGTTCAGTTCATCATCATAGAGGCTGCAAGGATCAGAGACTGAATTTAAAACATACAAAAAAAGAGGTTAATAATTAGACTCACTTGAAGGTGCGTATGGCCCACTGGCGGTGCTGCCAGGCATGGTAGTTCTTGGCATCGCCATCATTTACCAGGGCATTCTCCGTGAGCTCCAGCTCGTTGCTGGGATCATTCAGCATCTCGACAATGACGCGCCGGTGGTGCCACACCTGATAGTTCTTGGCATTCTGGCCAATTACCTCGCTCAAATAGTCCAGCTCAGCGTTCAGATCGGCCTTCAGTTCGCGCAGAATGTCACGTCTGTACTGCCACACCGTGTAATTGGCCGGGTTCAGGCGCAGTGCATCCGTGGTGAGGTCCAGAGCGCGCTGAGACTTCTCGCCACGCGCAATCACTGCACGCATGTAGTCGAACACCTCACGGACTGCAAAGAAAACAGAGTGTATATAGTATATAGAAAAGATAAAACCCGGCCCTGGGCATTACTCACACATCTGGCTGTAGGCAATGGACACCACCGGATTGGTACCGTCATCCTGGGCCAGCGGCTCTACGTCCGCCCACTCGGAGCGCGCGCTGTATGGCAGCCAGTCCGTGCCCAGGTACTCCTCGTCCGAGCTGTCGCCCATCTTGTTTAATGGATATCTAATGAAATGCTGCTGGGCGCGGATACAAGTGGAATAGTGTTGACTTTTTGCTTGCCGTGATGTTTTATCAGCCGCTGAATAAGTGTGACCAACTGGCACAAAGCAGTAAGCTTTTTGGCAGTGCTGTCACATTAGCTTTTTTACAGCTAACTAAAGCTTCATTGTAATTCAGGAATCCCCATATAATCCCATACACCTTAAAAAATTTTGAATAATTCGGAACATACATACATTTTTTTTTGTGGCTAGAAATATTCGCTGATCAAGAATATATATATGTTTATAGGGTCGGAAATTATTATTACCTGTTTATGACTAAAATTATAATATAATAATAATACAAAAATCCTAAAATATTTTTTAAACATTTATTTCAAATGGAATAAAAGTGCACAAAGTGTTCGAAATTTCTTATATTCTAGACGTAGACATCCCAGTGCTCTCGTTTCACTACACTTACAGAATAATATTTATTTTTTAGCTCAAGAAAAGCTCTTCTTTTTCCTCTAAAAACGCGGCTTAAAGGTGGCCGGATACTGGTTAAAGCGCGGACGCAGTGCAGCATTCGATTTCTCAAAGCGCTCGCCCGAGTTGCCCAGGATAACGCCATCGACTAGCTTGCCCGGCTGATCCTTGACATTCAAACGATCGCCGTTGACCTCGGCCACATCGATGATCCTTGGATTCTTGCGGTATCTGTACCACCAGTACTCAAACACCAGGGTTATGCAAGCCATGCCAATACCCACGAAAATGACGATAAAGACGCCGCCGATATTCTGGATGGAGATGCCATCAGATTGATCCTCTGGCTTCTCGCACTTGGCCTGGGCCTCGTCGTTCTTCCACCATTTCTCCTTGAGTTTCTCCAGTTGTCGTTTGTTAAGCAGCGTCAAGATTCTGTAAGATATTAGAATATATTTTTATTTAAGTTCAAATACAAGCTCTATGTGGAACTCACGCATTATTAAACTGATCCTTGAGATGTGAGCCTTGCTGAACGGCAATGGCGTAGGGTTTCCGGGAAAACTCCTCGCCCACCACCTGCAGATCGCAGTTGGTCAACTGCAGGTACCGGATATCCGTGGCATCGCCTAGAAAAGCAAAACCCGTGGCTGCCGTCGAATTTCTTACCCTGGCCACCGCCTCATCTAGAGTTGCTGGCAGAGCTGCCTCCTGCATGGCCTGCCACATCTTGGTGTACTTGTCGCTAACAGGATAATCCCAAACAGCCAGCTTGGAACGCTCCAAAGGGGTCAGGGAGTCATTCAAGGAAAGATCTTTCCAAATCTCATAAAACATCTGCTCGATATTGGCCATACGCTCGAAATAAGTCATGGCCGAGGAGCCATTAAGTGGAGCATATAAGATCTTGTACTGCTTGGCCAGGTCATCCAGGCTTTCCACGGGCGTATCCAAACGGGAGACGGTCAAAAAGGCAGCCAAGTTGGCGGTGTACGAGGCAATAATGATGAAACTTAAGGGAAATATATTTTTTTAATCAATTTTGCTTATGTAAATATCAGTAGACTCACCCAAACAACCACCAAGTGGCGGCCACTAGACGTCCTGAAAGATTTTTGGGAGCCTCTCCGCCACCTTGCGGCGTCAATGAAGTCATACAGAACCACAGACACTCTTTGAGATTGAACTCCCGCTTCTCCTCATCATCCTTGTACTTTTCCCTGTTGTTCTGATAACTATAAGGACTCCAGCGATCAAAGACCCACATCAGAAAGCTGGTAAAGAAGTAGGCTGCTAGGATGCACAGCCACACATTTGTCTCCAGGACAGTGAGGAACTTGAACAGCGAACTGGGCGAGCTGGGTCGCTGCATCATGATGGTTATACCCACCAAATCGTAGTAGGGCACCGTAAAGTCAATGACAATTTCACGTTCTGCCATCACGGACATGCTGCCGAGACCAATGTCCGCTTGTTTATCAATCAGCTTCTTGACAATACCATTCCATTCACCCTTCTCGTCCATATTGCCAAATTTGCCATCTTCCACCTCTTGGATGGTGTAATCGAAATGGACAATGGCGGCAATCTCATTGATCAGATCTATGCAGTAACCTTTATAACCCTTTGGCGCCGTCTCATCGCGCATGATAAAGGGGGCTTGCTGGAAGGTAAATAGTAAATATATTATACTTAAAAACTAGTTGTTATCTTACCACAACTGTGAAGATACGATAGACTGTATCAGCGGTTAGATTCTTCATCTGTCCCTCGTCCTTGACAACGATGGGTGAATCGAGACCGGCTGTCCAGGTGCCAATCGATTTGCTGTTGACCGAACTACCACCTCGAATCTGGAGCACATTTATATCCATTTCAAATTTCATATAGCTGTAGCCATTGAAGGGCTGCTTGGGTTGCGTGACCAGGTCGAACATTCCATATGATGTCGGCTCGCTAACCTGTGAGGGAGAGATGATGTGTCCAGTAATCAAACCATAATTTGACAACTGACTGGAAAAGGGGGAAAACCACAAACCTTGGTAAAGTACTCCCGCAAATCCAGGTTGCGTTGGGGTGTATTGCCGCCCTGGAAATCGTCACAGTTCAGGTACTCCATGTCCTTGGGCCAGGCGCCTGCTTGCAGCATTTCTCTATATAAAATGTAGAATAATTTTGAGATATGTTATAACCCACGCATTTTAAAATTATATTTGATATATTTAAAGTAAATAAAATCACTCACTTGATGGTAAGGAAGCTCCTCAAAGCCAAATCAAAGTAGAAGGCCGATGCCAGTTGCGGTTCCTCGTTGAGATTGTAAGTCGTACGCAGAAGACCCAAACGATCTCGAAATTGCGTATACGCCATGGGCTTCAGGAACATAATGGTGGCATTATCCCTCTGACTGCTCACCTCGCCCTCACTCTGCGTAATGGCATGCCAGGCAAAGTTTCGCTCAAAATACGCCGCCTTTACGGACTCCAAAACCATGCTTATAGACTGAAGATTGCCCAGAATAAAAAAGTTGTTAATGTCCAAATTGCGCAGCTTTTCGATCTGTTCTTCTCTCTCCCGTTTGCCATCCTTGGCAATGGCAGTGATGACATGTCGTGTCTGGATATTCTGCAGCAAGGACTTGTACTTGTGGTCCATCACAAAGGTGTCGTCGTACAAGATGGCAGCTGACAAGGGAAGAGGATTGAATATTTATGATGACTAGTGTCACAGCCTTACCATTGGTGATATTGAGACGCCTCACAATACTCCGGATAACCTCGGGTATAATGTCTGCCGGCGGCATCACCTGTAGCAGATATTTTTGCTTTGCCTCATCCAAATCACGCCACTGCCTCAGGTCACCCTCCTGGCCATAAGAGGCACTAATAGTGGGCAAACCCAATGCCTGGGTGAAACTCTTGACCGTTTCTGACGCCACGCCCGATTTTGTAGTGTCCAGGATCAAGTGTGGTGTTTGTTTCTTCTCAATACTGGAGGCATACTTGTTGCAAACTTGGTTTAAATAAAAAATTAGAGGAAAGGAGTCCCAGGGTGATCTCAAAGAGAACTCACTTGCTTCTAGGAGCACCTTAGCATCGGTTTTGTTTGCCTCAATGGAATCCAGTTGCACAGAGAGTCCCAGGTGGATGTTCTTCTTCAAGTACGTGAGCACCACATTCACTGCCTTGGCCGCCGGTTCGTTGTCCACCTCATTGATGAACACTATGTAACACAGGATGTAATACGGAAAGGGTAAAAATGCATCCAACAGGACGGAAGTATTACGTGGCTCAAAGTCTGTTTACTTGTCCTTGTCCCAAGCTAATCATTATGACTTACGCCAAGTCAGCTTGGGTATCTAACCATCATCAATATCCATACAGTTTTTTCTATAATTAGTTTACTTAGGCACTGAGCGAATGGAAAATGGCAATATGAAGTGGGTTTGAAGGGTTTATTTAATACAACAAATAAAAGGTTAAATTATAGAAATTAGTATAGTTTTTTCTATGATTTTTTTAAATGATGTAAATAAGAATAAGTAGGGTAAAATATTTCCTAAAGAGAATTACAAAATATCTATAAATACATCATATACAAACCTTAACATTTAAATAAATTATAATACAATAATAGAAAATTTTAGTTTTAATAAATTTAAGCCCCTTTCTAAGAGCTAGGAACCCGAAAAATCCTATCCTTACCCTATATTCCCCTGACAATCAATCGTTTCTTTACTTACAAACATTAATGTTCTGTGTTGTTTGAGCTGCGATCTCCGTATTCCAACCACTCAACAGGCACAACAGTAGCAGGAGCCACCTCTTCCTAGGAGTCTTTGGTTTCACACAAATCATTTCACATAAGGAGTTTCCTATAATCTTTTTAATCTCGAGGACTTTTCACAAAATTGACCGCACCGACCGAGCAATAAATTGCAACTGAGCAGGAAATTACGTTCTCAAAAAGGATACCCATGAACAATTTCACTTTCAACACGGACAATGTGTGGACACATGTGGGTATCCTTGGTGATAATCAATTTCGTGGGCAGACACAACGCCACACATATCCTGGGTTCGATGGGTTCGTGCGGGAACTCTGGCGTTAATTGGCGGCGATGGGGTTTGTTGTGGGCGGGGGGCAGAGGGCGTGGGCTATTATGAGTTATTGAAGAACTTGTTATATTGTCACATAAACATATAGCGATTATTATAGGGATTCACTGAAGGGGAAAGCACCAAAATATTTAATAATAGTTGGGAATTTTTTATTAGAAGGGGAAATGAGCTAGGAAAAATCAGGGAATACCTGACGTGGTTGTTTTAATATAAATATAAATATTGTAAATAGATATTATTAATTATTATTAAAAGTCAATTCTTATTTAAAAAAAAAGACTTCAACTCGAAATAAGTGAATGTTTAAAAGCAGAAAAAGTCTCTTTAAGGGGATTTATAATAATAAATATATAAAAATATTATCAGTTCCAGACTTAAAACTATAATTAGAACTACAGTGGCCCTTCCCCTTCTTATTAATTATACAACCCTTCTTCCTGATACGATTAGTTCCCTGACTCACAACTATTACTAATCAAGTTCAGACAAATCGCCCTGATAGGACGTTATCAGCAGATCTCCCTTGGCTAAGAAACAACAATAACGTTTTTGACGAAAGTACAAAATTATTTTTATTTTTATTTTTTCGATTAATCATAAAATTTATAAACTTACGCCCCGCGACATAATTTCTAGTGCAGAGAGTGTGCACCCTACGAGCAAAAAAATCAAAACAGAGAAAAAACTCAGCCTAAAATAAACATGTAAACGATTATGCAGCAGCAGTTGCGCGAGCCACATTTCAGATATAGCCACAATATCTATATATGTATATATATAGTCATTCATGGTGGTGGTGCTGGTGGCGATTTTCGACTAGCGAACATTGTCATTATGCGTAAGACCTAGAGTTTGCACTTAACTTACGACAGTTCACGATGGTTAGATAGTAGTAGATGATACGTACATTACACAGATCGAATTATATGTATATATATATAATGCTAAAGCCTACGTAGAGTGTATATGCATAAATCTCACAAGTTCCAGTCATCAGGACCCGTCTCCTGGCGTATCACGGGCGGGGTGAGCGGCGCCTTTGGTGCTCCGGGCACTGGCGTGGGCACCAGAGGTGCAGCTCCGCGCAACGTGCTCCCGTAATAAGGCGGCGGCCTGCTGAGGCTCGGCGAGGTGGAGCTGTGCGTGGACGAGGCAGAGGAGTCGCGCACCCGGCCGGCATCAAAGACGGGCGCCTGGGCATACCGATGCGGCCCACCCAGCTGCGGAGTGTGCGAACGCGAATGGGAGCGTTCCCTTCGCATCTGCTGCTCCTGCTGCAGACGCTGTTGCTGCACGTACTGCTGCTTGCGCTGCTTGAGCAGCTGCTCATCACGCTGGAGCAGTCGCTGGCGTTGCTGAAGCTCAAACTGCTGGCGCTGCATGGCACTCAGCCGGTTGGCCTTGCTCCAGGGATTGCCGCCAAAGCAGAGGTTCGATATGAAGACCACCGGCGAGAACAGACGCAGCGAGATCTCACTACGCGGAAGAGAGATTGTATTTGTATTTAGTTATTTATAGCTAAGACAGACGCTCTTCTAGCTAAAGAATTACGTGTGTTACGTTTGCCTTCAAGAAGCTCGCCTGTATTATCAAACACTTACGTGGTGTCCACAATGGGCTTCGCCTCATTGCCGCTGAGTATAAACAGAGGGAAGAAAATTGAGAAGATGCAGCTGCTGACAATCACCGAGCTGGAGAGGTTTGTAAGCACGGTGAGCGGTATGCCAAAGCCGAAGAAGTAAGGCCAGTTCTTTTCTATATAGGTAAGCCGTCGGTGGAGCTCCCAGCCCATGTTGAACCACTTGTACTCGAAGGAGTACAGCGAGTAGAGCAGGCACAGATGCACAAAGCATAGCGTCGAGCCCACATACTTCACAGGCACCAGGTTGACCAGCATGCTCTGCACCAGGAACAGCATCTGCACCACCATGCTGAAGAGGAAGTCAGCCACCAGCTTACTGATCCCCGGAATCAACTGCGGACGACCCTTTCGCACACGGTAGGCGGCATTTGCTATATCCGCAAACCACAGCGAGCTCACAATCTTGGACAGCATAAAGATGGGCAGAACCCACATCATGCCAAAGAGCAGGGACAAAATCGGATGCAGCCAGCCCCAGACAACGGGCAAGGTCTCCGACTGGGCGCCATAGAAGATGGTGAGGCAGAACTTGAGCGTCGGCAGCAAAGCCGACTCGAAGAGGACTATGCTCAGCCAGGTGAAGCCGCCGTTGAGCATGCAGCACTTGAACAGCTTCTTGGCGATCTTCTTCTCGCTGCAAATCAAATCGAATCAAAAATCAAGTGCGCAATAAATTAGTAACAGTCGGTGGGTCACGTAGGCATATGCACATACCCCTGCGGCTGCTCCTCCTTGGCGGCAGCAGTCTTCTTGCTAAGCATCTTTTGCAGACTCCGCTCGTCGGCATTCTCCTCCGCCTGCTTGGCATACTCCTCACGGATCATGGCCGCCGCCGAGCTGGGCACTGGCGACGGCGATCTGCGCGCTCTTTCGTACCGATCTTTGTCGTTGCGTCGCAGCTGGCGTTGCTCCAGCTCAGCGTTCTGGCGATTCACCTCGTCGTCGATGTGCAAGACCAAAGTCATGCCCCGAATGCTGTCCCACAGGCCATACAGAATGCCCAGGGTGATGTTCTGGTGGGGGATCGGTTAGGATTAGGCTCTCTTTTGTTTGCTGCTCCTCTCTCCTCCTACTCACCTTTATCGCTGCCATCTCTCGCGTCGTCGTGGCCAGCAGCAGTCTCTCTAGTTCCTGTGGTTGGGGGTCATCGCGAGGTGGACATGTAAGCAAAGCAAAGACGAAACGTGTTTAGCTCTACGGCGAGTCGGAGAGTGGCGGAAGGTCTTTGAATAAATTTGCGTTGTGCGACGACGAAGACAACATTGTGTTTTGTTGTTTTTGTTATTGTTTCACAACTGATTTCAGGCGCATTTACACTGCACGAAACTGGGGCCTTCGGGGTGTGTGTCAATCGCATTTGGGAACCTTCACTTACATACTTATCGCTATGCTTTATCTTGCCAATGGATTGGGGTGTGTGTGGTGCCTAAAAACATTGAACTTTGTGCTGATTTTGTTAATTTCGTTGGATTGTTTTGCTGGCCCAGGCAGTGTAAACAGGCTGATATATCACACGGTTGCCACCTGATGCTCAGCGGACGTTGTCCAACACTAGGTCAGGGATGCGGCGGGGGTGTAGTGTTGCCAACTATCGATAGGTGGAGATTATCAATGTATTTACAAAATTAATGTCAGATTTCCTTAAAATAAATACATTTTAAATGTGCTAATTAGGAATAACTACAAGTAAATTACAAGTAAAGTTTTCTTCGAAATATATATATATCTCTATTACACTTGCTCGATATAATTTTATATATCGATATATCGAATCGGACAAATAGATATTCCCCCGCCCGATACAGGTAGGAAAAGCAGGTAGGCGCAAACATTCTTCTCCTACCCGGGGGACTGAAATACCGTAAGTTTTCCTGGTCAACTTGTTGAATTTAAATATCCGCAAACGCTCCACACAAAACGTTTCTTTGTTTGTTTTATAAGTACTCGAAACGGATTTAATAAAATTTTGTAGTATATTTGTGTATGCGGGGGCCGTTACAATCGGGATTTTAAAAAAAGTCGAGCGTAAATAATGCAAAATAGCACCGCGGAACTTGTGATTAATTAGTGTATGACGCTCGCAGTTGACTGTGATAACGGGGTATTTGATTCTTAACCGCTTTTTTACATACACGTATATGTATGTGTGTAGATATGCATATATTTTGGAATGTGTATATGTTTTCAATACGCAAATAACGTAATAAAGCCCTAAATCAGGTGTCAGGCCATGTTAAGGCCGTAGCACAAGGCAGGCGCTTAATTGATTACCCATTTACCGTTAGTCAACAGAACACGGCGACAAGATCTGTCATGTTTATTTAGCAAACACACAGACGCACACAAACCGGTGACCTTTACCTGTGGGTGTGTGTTCGTGCCTTGAAAATGAACTTAGCTAAATGCAATTTACAAGCAACACTTTATTGCAGATTACCCTCCACATCTACCCCTTCGCACCCGCCTCCATTTAATCATCTCTCCCATCTGTGCGGGAATAATCGATACTCGCATACCGAGGCAGCGCCAGCAACAAAAATAACAACAGCAACATGGTGTGGTCTAGTGATAAGCAACAACAGTAGGGCCACGGCCCAGCCACCCACTCCACGACTCCCCATCGTTGCCCACATCCAGGATTCGCCAACAGGAGGAAGGAAGCAAACAAGCAATTTTGCAAGCGCACAACTCAAATATCCTGTGTCATTCCTTCAACCACCTCCACCCGAACGGACGACGAACGAACGCCAAAGGTCATGTCGCGCGAGGAACGCAAACCCATCGTTGACACCTCGAACAGCAGCAGCTGCAGCAGTGGCGAGGATGAGGTGCATCCTGTGGTGCGGCGGCGCAGTGCCCGCGATACGGAGCTGGGTCCGTCTAAGGATACCGGCTGCTGTGATCCCACTAGCACGCCCCACCGGTTTCTGGCTCTGCTGTTTATGTGCCTTTTGGGTTTTGGTAAGTTTTATTTTGGTTACTTAAGAAATGTAGTTATTTTTTAAATTGATAAGAATCCTTAATGATAGATTAATCGGTATAAAAATAGTTCGAAAAAATGATGCCTTTCCTTTTTCCTTTTTCCAATTTACACTTACATTTCCATTTTAAAATTTATAGCAAGTTTTTAATAATAAAATAATTATGATAAAGAATAATATCTACCATTATCTATTATATCTACCATTAATTATATTTAGGGATTTTAATTTTTACTGAATTGTAAATACCTTAAGCAATAATTCTGTGATCCAAATAATATAAATTATAAATAATTTACTTTTAGGTTCCTATTTTTGCTACGATAATCCGGGAGCATTGCAGGACGTTTTCCAAAAGGAGCTAGACCTCAGTTCCACTGAGTTCACGCTGATCTACTCCATCTACTCGTGGCCAAACATCGTGCTCTGCTTTGTGGGTGGCTTCCTGATCGATCGAGTGTTTGGAATCCGTTTGGGCACTATTATCTACATGCTGATCGTGCTCGTGGGTCAACTGATCTTTGCAACTGGAGGAGTGCTTGGCCATTTCTGGCTGATGATCGTGGGCCGATTTGTGTTCGGCATTGGGGCTGAGTCGCTGGCTGTGGCCCAAAACAGCTATGCAGTGCTATGGTTCAAGGGCAAGGAGCTAAACATGGTCTTTGGCCTGCAGTTGTCGGTGGCACGCTTCGGCAGTACCGTCAACTTTTGGATAATGCAACCTCTATATGGCTACGTTTCGAAATCTTACTCTGGCTACACGGGTCTCGGTGTGGCTCTGTTCCTGGCCTCCTCCACGTGCGTGATGTCGCTGCTTTGCACCTTAATTCTGGGTAAGATCTGGGCACCTACAAATGTATTAATTGCTTCTCTTATCGTACCTTTTCCCCCATTCCAGGCTGGATGGACAAGCGTGCGGAACGCATTCTGAGACGGAACAACAATCCCGGCGGAGAGATAGCCAAGCTCAGCGATATAGTCACTTTTAAGATGGACTTTTGGATGGTGTCGGTGGTGTGTGTGGCCTACTATGTGGCCATCTTTCCATTTGTGGCTCTCGGCCAGGCCTTCTTTGTTAGCAATTTCCACATGACCCCGGATGAGGCGAACACTGTCAACTCGATTGTCTATCTGATCTCGGCTATAGCTTCGCCTTTGTTTGGTTTTGTAATCGACAAAGTGGGCAGGAATGTGACTTGGGTGTTTTGTGCCACCATTTCCACGCTGTTTGCTCATTTCCTGCTAATTTTTACGCACTGGGATCCCTACATAGGCATGAGCATCATGGGTCTGTCCTATTCCATGCTGGCAGCCAGCTTGTGGCCTCTGGTGTCGCTGATTGTGCCCGAGTATCAGCTGGGCACTGCTTATGGCTTGTAAGTGGGGGGATTTTGTTGAGTTTTTTGGATTGTTTTTAATATTTAAATATTTTTTGATGCAGTTGCCAGTCGGTGCAGAACCTGGGCTTGGCTGTGGTCACCATTGTAGCGGGCATTATTGTGGACAGCAGCGGTGGCAGTCACTTCTGGCTGCAGATCTTCTTCATGGTCTTCCTGTTGAGTGAGTAGAATTTACATACTTTGACTTGACTTTTATAAACCTTTATTTATCTTTTTCGTATCTTTTTTACAGTCTCCCTGCTGGCCACCTGTGCGATTTGGGCCTATAATCGTAAACATCAGGGCAACCTGAACATGTCACCTGCCCAGCGGGCCACATATCACACCTCGATGTATGTGAATATTGAGTCGAGTTACGCATGCCATTGATGTCTTGATGTTGTACTATCCTTTATCTGTTTCGGATTAGAATCAGACTAATTAACCTTCTTTTTTCAAATGTATATATATATTTGCTTTCGTATTTATGCCAAAAGCTCAATGCAGTGCCCCTTTGTGAACCGGCGGCCTTTATTGGGCAACTAAAAGTGTGGCTTCGATCGGTTATCCATGTTCAGTACTAACCAAAAACAACCAATTGTGATGTTAAGGCCATCTCTCTCTCTCTGAAACCTGACAAATGTTACGCAACCTGGAGCACATTCTGCTAACCGCACATCGGTTCAACTTTTAGCCAATATTCTATTATACATATCAAACACCGTAAATTATTGTTATACTTATTTTGTTGTATAAATAAAATTATGTAAATGTACATTCACTAAATTACAGAATAAAAAAATAAACTTTCGGGGGAAATATAGTAGTTTTTAATGTTAAGGTAAACGGTTTTTAAAGCCTTGTGAAGAAAAAATTAAAACTCAAGTCTCAAAAACTAAAAATAAATTTTATAAGAAAATATAGTAGAGTAGTTTTTATTGTAAAGGTAAAGATATTAATCCCTTGAGCAAAAAATTTCAAATTTTTTGTATCATAATTCCATTTTATTTTTCTTGCAAATATAATTTTTGTTGTTTGCTATTTGTACAAAATAAATTAAATAAATTAACTAAAGCATAAACAGAAATTCAAAGAATTTTGGTGCTGTTACATTTCCATTTCTATCAAATAAACAAAAAATAGAACAATTTTCTATGATGCATAGACTAAAGAAAACAAAATACAATTTGCAAACCTTGACAGAAGAAAATTAGATGATATTCAGAGCAAGTCGAGAATATAAAATAATAATAATTAAGACATAGATGATGAACATTAATACATTTCCTTTTCCATGTTTGAGAATTGTTTTGGTTTAAAGTTAAAAAAGGGAGATGAGAAACAAAATTTCAAACTAAAAAATGTGTCATTCTCTATTGAGTTTCTACTAAAAATGGAATACATTTTAATTTTTGCTTCGTAACGATTTGTTTCGAGTTAGCTGCATTTTATGAATTAGTAAATGTTTTTAGGAAAATACCCTTTTTTCGCTTTTTTGAACTTAACTAAGAGCTTCGTTGAATTTTCTAGTTAAAAGTTGAAAGTTTTGATTTGTCGTCGTTGATTATTTTCTAAGGTTAGTTTTGCTTAATTTTTTTGTTTGTAAATATTTCTTTTTTTGGTCGTTTTGTTTTTGCTTTTTCTGTTAAAAAGAGAGGCTAGAATTGAACTCTGTCTGAGCTTTCTCTCTCACTCTCTCCACACCGGACATAGATTGATAATATATATAGCTGCTGTGTATTATCTATATTGTCAGTTTGGACCGCTCGGCTGCGTGGCTTCCGCTAATCAATCATCTAGAGTCTCGGCTTCATCGGCTGCCACAATATCCCGCTTGGCGGCACTCTTAATGCTGGCCAGATATTTATCGCCATCGAAGCGCTGACTTTCATCCTGCAGATCCTGTTTTGAAATGAGCAGAGTGTATAGTAAGGGGAAAAATTGTAAATGGTTTATCAGCTTGAGGGACGAGCTTACCTGGGACAATCAAACATGGTATGTGTGGTTCTTATGGGAACAGTTAGCGTGCTAGGTGAGTTATGGTGTAAAATGTACAAATGTTAAGCTGTGGTGACAGTTAAACCCAAGCCAAGTTTTGTATTGGACTTTGAAAGTCCGCAATGTTCATTTATTGGAATTACAATATGTAATATGTTGTATGTTATAAGTGTCATGGTTAGAAGATAAAACGCTTAATACTAGGTGTTTGTGTGTCCCAAAAACATTTTAAAGATGTTACAAGTCTTGTTATGAATATTAAATACATTTTTGTTTTCTTTTGAATTCGATAATGTGATTGTAATGATTTATGAAAGTTGCAAATTTTGTTTCAGTTTCAGTTAAACTCTAGCGAAGACTTGATCTGTTTCACAGCCAAAACACAGATTCTCCTTATTTGGGTTTACAATTTCCAACTTCAATCCTTTATGTCTAAGACTAGCAAATTGTTTCTCTTCGTTTTTGTTTTCTTTTCTTTCTATAACTAGATGAATGTATGAGAGTGATGATAGCATCAATGGTAGGCTTTGAGATCAACATGTATTATGATGAGGGATAAAACTAAAGGCAGGCTTTTCGTTGAGATATATAAAAAATGTTTTGCCATAAAATTAACTCAGGTACGTATTCCGGCTACGTATTAAATTATTAGCAAATAAAAAATTAAAAAAAAAAAATCTAATAACCTTTGTTCTGGTTATTATTGAGTTCAAGTGGCATGTGATGCTCGCTTAAGGCCAGGACAAATTCATCATCCTCGCTGTAGCGCTTAAAGATCGCCTTTACTTGAGATGCTTGAGCCTGGCGAGTGTTAGTGGTCTTTCCCGTGGTTCCACCCATTGTATTAGTTATTATTTGAAGCTGCTTATTATACAAATTCCTATCAGACTCAGCCGAGGGCTTAGGCAGGCGCCCCCCTTTCTTGCTGTTGTTAGTTATTGATTCGAGCGCAAGGGAACTGGCATTTCCAGCGGTAGCTGTGAGAGAGGCGGTGGCGGTGGAGGTTGGGGTGGTGGTGTTGTTACTTGCATTCAGAGCTGTGGACGCTCTCGAAGTTGTTATTACTGATGAGTTGTTAGGTGCGTTATTGGTGGATATGATGTCGGGGCTGTCGCTCGAAGTGGAAGCAAAACAATCGAAGTTCGGCTCGGCGAGAGCGTGAATTACCTTGTTGCGTAGAATCGATGGGGTAGTCTCTTGGATCTTTTGCCAGTCGGTGGGCAGGGCCCAAGCATGCGGGCTCTTTGAGTAGAAAATCAAGAGTTCCAGATCATACGAGACACGAGCTGTGAAGGATTATAATTATTAGCAACTTATTTGCAGTATTTTTGTTGAAAAAACCCTTAATTAAACAGAGACATCAAACAGAACCTTCACAAAACCATTAACTCCTTAACAATAAAAGATTCAATCTTACATGCATTTGTCTTCAAAGCTGTTTGTTCCTCCACATCAAACATCTCACGAGCGGCCTTCGACTCTGGCGTGGACTCCTTGCGTGAGAAGTGGCTGCGCCGGGATCTGGCCAGGCCATTCTGATTGTTGGCTCCATTGCTGGGTTCAGCAAATACTTCATCATCCCCCTCCCCATTATTGTTGGCCGCGTAGTTCAAACCAATGCCGCTGTCGGCTAGAGGCAGCATAAATTGCGGCGGTCCAGCGCCGGGCAGCGGAGTCGATGGCGTAGTCACAGGGCTCACCAGAGAAGTGCCATCGAAGGCAGCACCAGCCTCCATGGAGGCCAGGAACTCCGAGCTGCTAAAGTAATCGTCCAGCACAAGCTTTGCCACCTAAAAACAACCACTTTTAAAAGGGTTTCTTTTCAGATTTACATGTTTTTTGAAGGACTCACGCGCACTAGCTCGCAACAGTCGCCGGTTATCTTGATCAGGTGCTGGCCCACATTCACCGTGAACTTGTATTCACCTACGGAAGCATCGTTTGTGGAATATGAGTGCATAAGCAGCTGCTGACTGGGACGCAAAACTTTACCGGCAGCAGCTGCTGTGGCCTGGGCTTGAGCCGCTGCTACCGCTGCGGCAACCTGCTGTTGCTGCTGCTGCTGGTGCTGTTGATGTTGTTGGTGATGCTGCGAGATCTGCTGCGCCGCCGCAGTGGCGGTCATAAAGTTCTGCGCCGAATTGAAGCTCAGCCGGTTAGCCAAGCTACTGCTGCCACCGGGTGTGCGCGGCTGCACAATGGCGTCGTCCGAGTTGGACGAATTGAGTGAAGAGCACGATCCACCGGCAGCGGGAGCGGGTTCAAGGCGCACGGGCGAAGCATTGCGGCGAATGGTGTCCTCCATCAGTTGTTTGGCATAGCTATCAAGAAACGAGGACATATTGAAAGTTAACGAAACGTTTTCTCCTGATGAAATCGCAAGAAAAAGTGCTGCCAAGAAAGAAGTTACAGTTATGTTTGGCGCTTGGGGCTGGCGTTGCCAGATTGCTTGAAGCTAACAGTGGGCACAAGTTGTTAAACACAAGAGAAATTACAGTTACGGAAAATTAAAAAAAATATTTAAAAATTTATCAAATAAAAGAAATGGGAAAAAAAGAAATTAAACTATTAATATATACGCTTATATATAAATAAAGATATAATTAAATATATCTTAATTACGAAAGCAAGAGAATTTCATTAAATCACCTTTTAAAAAACGATAAATTCAGAAAATAAGGAACTAACTGAATAAAATATATTCTAAATTAAGTAAAAATAGATTATTTTTACCATAAAAAATTATTAAATATATTTTAAATTCAGAAAATAAATAAATAACTGAATAATATTTAAACTTAATTGAGAAAATAAAATAATTTCTACCATTAAAATATAATAAATTCAATTTAAAATATAAAATAATTTCTGAAAATAAGAAAACTAAATTTAAAAAAATTATAATTTAATTACAAAATATATATTACATTATAATTAATTAGTCAAACAATTCCCCTTAATTAGCAGCCTAAGTATTAAGTATTTTAATATTTACATTACTCACTTAATTTTATCCTCGGCTGGGCCAGTGATCTGCACCAAACGCTCCTTGGCACCGGGGTTGACTAATCAAAGAATTGCATTATTATTGAACTTTAATCCTTATCAACAAATATAAATATGTGCAGATTGAATGAAATAAGTTGTTTATTAAGTGGCAAACGATTTTGGTATGGAATATATACAAGGAATAAACGAAAAACAATTAGTTTTCAACACCTTTAAGAACACAAATGGGATGCATTTTTAATTGATTTTGATCTGTAATTTTAGTAAAAATCATAAAAATGTATAAAAGCGTGCCAAATGAAGCTGAAGTGTGATAGAATCGACTATTTGAACCCAGAGTTCTGGGAGGTTACCTCTTTGAAACGATATTATGGTTTCGCTAAGCTCCTCGATCATGTGCACGCGTCGACCTTTGATGCCCATGACTACGGGTCAGGGGGTTATATATTTTGGTTTGTAAAATACATTTTCAACAATATATTCAAATATTAAGTGTTCCTAACCAATCAGCCGCTGATACTCACCCTTGCCGGAGTCTGCGTTGCGTATAACCACCTCGTCCTTGCAGTACGTCTTGCCGGGTATCTTCGTGGGCTTGGGAAACTTTCCCGAATTGCGGATAACCTCACCGGGCGGCAGCAGCAGATGCTGCTGGTTGGGTGAGCCCACAGCCGCAATGGCCGCTGCTTGGGCGGCCACGGCTGCAGAGGCCGCATTGAAGACGGCGGCAGCGGCGGCGGCGGCAGAGCCTACGCCAACATTGACACCGCCACCGCTGACACCGAATGTGGGGGAGGTGCTGAGAAAGCCGCCTGGCTGCCCGCCGGCATCGTACTGATATGTCTCCGAGGGCAGCTGAAAAAATATTACAATAAATAATTGTAGGACAAATACCTCTGGAAGAACTCACCTCCACGTTCGAGACTTGCTGCTTGGACTTGTAGTAGGCGATGGTATCATCGTTCTCCCAGCTTTTGGCACGGAGCTCGATCAGCTCGAGCAGCTTGAGACGCGTCAGTATGTTCAGCCGTTCGTCCTGCGAAGCGTTGCGGAACACCACAAAGGCCCGATCCAGTGTATCCTTGGACACGGCCTCCAACTGTGGTCCGTGGACACGCAGATTGTGCAGTAGTAGTGTCATCGATTCTGGTGTGGTATTGTACGACTGCAGGCCCACAGTGACATTGTCAATCAACTGAATGAGCTCCTCAATAACCAAATAGCTGTTCTTCAGCGAGGCACGCGACTGTGTCTTCAGTGGGCGTGGTGTCTCAATGTTTTTCACAGCGCGTCCCAGATGTGTGTGGGCCATTTTTGCAATGGGCTTGCTGCTACGCTGCTTCGTCCGGTTCGATGATGTCTCAGAGTTGTTAAAGATGCTTCTTGTTGTCCTGTCCTATCGTTGTTGTTGTCGTCGTTGAGAGTAGATGATGTCTGGTTAGGGTTACTAGTTCGTTCGTTTAAAATGTTGTTGCAAGAATTTGATGAAGAAGAAATCGTAGAAGCGTTTTTTCCGCACCTCCCCCTGGAAAGATAAAGAAGTTGGAGAGATTAGTCGAGGGCTAGACTATCGTATTATTGCATAAAATGTGATTTAAGTTAGCCCTCAAAGCGCGGAAGTACTTTTATAGAATTTAAATAAATATGTATATAATTATTTTTTAACCACTTTTCTAAGTATTTTGCAAAAAAAATTAATATTTCTGACCCAAAAACCTCACACAACACTTGATTCTTGAATACTGCGACGCATTGTTTCTTGGGTTTATATCTTTGTAGCCTTATTATGAGATGTGCACGTTTGATAAGCGGGTTTATCTGATAACACCTACGGAGCCCGGACTCCAAAGATTTATCTACATATATGCTTAGTTTAGGGGTGGGGGGGACTTAACCCATTAGCGCCTGCTGCCGCTGATGTTGAATCACTTGGCCGCCACTCGAAACCTAATCGTTAGCGATAATTGCGAGCAGAATTCCAAAACAAAGTAGAAATAAATAAATAATGAATGAAAATTGTTTGCATAAATGGGAACGACCATTTGTGCGACTGTTTCGAAGGCTAATTGTTGTTGCTGCGACGTCTACTTCTGCTGCTGCTGTTGGTTTTCTTTCGTTTAGACTTTCTAGCTCCAAACAGATTTTTTTTAAAATATCACTTACACTGGCAGCAACAACAACAAAAGGAACAAAAATATTACAAAAAACTGAATTTGTTCGCCCAGAGAGGACGGGACGGCAAAAGAGAGAAGAGAGCGATCATGTTCACTTATTCCTATTGAATCATATGTCGAGAATAGCAACAACAAGACAGGTCTGGCCTCTGCCGACGTCGCTGCCAGCAGCGCAGTTAGCTCCATTTTGGGCGGAGGGCCGCGATAAAGCAGTTAAAAATCGCGAAAACCTTTAATTAGTTGGCCAACTGTCAACAACGGTTAATCCGTCTCGGCCACGGCTCTCTTTGAAATTGAGTAATAATACTGAGTTTCGACGGCACGCCACTGCCACCATGGGGCGCATCCGTCAGAAACTACGCGTTTCGCTGCGACATTGCACTCTCCCACTCACGCGTATTTTCAATTTCCCATACACCACGAATCAAATGTTACTATCCAGGCACAGCCGATACCGAGCGCGACAATAAAAGGCACTTTTGCGGCTGTAATTTAATTCAAGGAATTAGACTACAAAAGCTTACCAATAAAATTTCTGCGACTTCGACTAACAGTGTGCCCGCCGTGGGTAGTCTCCAAATTCCGTCAATCCCGGAAAAGGTACTAAAATGTACCACCGCTATCCTATACCGTTCTCACTAGGTCTATAAAGCTAATGGGTTTATAGTACTCTAATTTAGATCCCATAGTCATCCCGCTCGCACTTGGGTAAATCCCTATGGTGCTGTCAATTCTTCCATAAAACTTTTATTTGACAACACCGCATTAATAAAATATATAGAGATTTGACAGTTCCTTCAAGTTTTACACTGGTGCAAGCAAAACGACTATTACACAAATAATAATAAAAATAACATATATAGTTTTCTCTTTCAATGTTCTAATTACTTATTATTGAAAACTATGTCATAACGCCATAATTAATGCGGCGGTGTCAAAACCTTATAAGGAATCGAGTTTTAGTGTGCCCAATTGCTTTATTTTGAAGAATTTTTAACTTTATGAACAAAAAAGGAGGTGGGCACACTGCTGGCAACAAAAAATAAGTGAAAAGGCAACAAAATATTGGAAAAAGTAAAATTTAGTCAAAATACATTAGATCGGGGCAAATTATAGTTATTTCTAATAACTTCCTCAAAGTTCGTGCCCTTTCTGAAATATGTCGGATAACGAGGAAGTAGAGGCGGCGTCGCCGGAGCCTGCGAGCACCAACGCCGTGTCCGCCAAGCCACTACAAATGTCCTTTGCGGATTGGAAGAAGTGCAAGGAGGCACTTGCCAAGCCGGAATCCAAGTCCGGTGGACAACAGCGCGGCAATAGCAACAACAACAATAATAATAATCATAATAATAATAGTAATAATAATAATTATAACAATAATAATAATTACAACAATAATAGCAACTGGAATAACAACAACAACGGAGGACGGAGACAAAACAACAACGACAACAGAGGCTTTCAGGGAGGCGGCGGACCATGGAACCAAAACAGAAACAATTTTCCGCCGCTGAGCAGACCCCCGCCACTACCAATGCAGCTACTGAACATGGGCATGGGGTATGGAGGCAATTTTGGCGGTAACTTCGGCCCGGGTCCAGGTCCCTGCGGTCCGGGCGGACCCATGGGACCTTGCGGCCCGATGCGGCCAATGGGTGGCGGCCCTTGCGGTCCAATGGGTCCTGGCGGTCCCATGGGTCCTGGCGGTCCCATGGGTCCTGGTGGTCCTATGGGCCCTGGCGGTCCAATGGGCCCTGGTGGTCCAATGGGCGGTCCAGGACCACGACGAAATCAAAACCACCGGCCCCTGCAACCGCCCCCATTTTGGGAGGACATGATGTCGCCAAATCACGGTCCGCCGCCCATTCAGCCCCCGATGCCCAAGTGTCCAAGTATGTGGAATCTAGTGCCCAAAGAGCGAGGGCCGCAGCGACAGAATCGCAGCAATCAAAGCAACCAGCAGCAACCAAACAAAAAGTTCAAACCCAATAACAACAATAATAATAATCGCGGCAACAACAACAATTCTAAGGATTCCAAACTAATGCCACCGCCGCCTCCTCCTGAGTCGTCAACGTCGTCGTCAAGCGAAAGCAACAACACCTCCCAGTCAAATGGAGGTGGTCAGCCTTCTAAGAAACCCAAACGCAGCGGCGCCTTTATACAAATCAACGGAGAGTGGATCCAAAAGCCAGAGGCTCCACCGCCTCTTGATGATGCGCCGCCCGGCACAAAGGAGGAACGCCAGCGTCAGTGGAAGGAGTATCGGCAGGCGATGAAACCGTTCAAGAACCGTGAATTTCACAACTGGAAGCGGACGGTGCAGCGTTTGGGCAAGCTGCCGCGTGACCAACTTGACGAACAGCAGCTCGAGCGGCTACAGAAGGCCGAGGAGTACATAGGCGCACACAAAGCGATGCTGACGGTCAAGCACGCAGAGCGCTGGGTGCAGCAGGACAAGGATGAAAGCGGACAAGTATTTGTACGCAAGTCAGCCAACATGGGCAATTGGGAGAAGCCCAGAGAAGGGGCCAATAGTTTTGACTCGAAGAAACCACAGATGCAGAACTTCTTTGGTCCTGGACGGGCCATCAAGGGCGGCGTCATGGACGGTTCCACCTTGAGCCAGCTAATGACACAACCACCACCACCTCCTCCGCCGGATGTGCCAACGGGTCAGTGGGCCTCCATGGGAACAACCAGCACGGGCTCAAATTCAAATCCCTCTTACTACAGTCACTACAGCAACAATTTCGTCAAAGGCGGTACCATGCTGCCATCCTAGGACGCTTCTTCAAGTCTAACCCCAGACGCGGGTTTTTACCAATGTTTTTTTCAATGGCATAGCACCTCCGACGTATTGACACCCTTCCGGACGACAGTTAAACAGATAGTCTCCAACAGTTTCTTACTCCTTTTGAACCGAAGGGCATTCGGCATTTGTATTCAGCGGAAGTTAAAAAATGTAACAAAATCAACATACTACTTAAGGCTATTTCTTGGGTTTACGGCTGCGTCTGGGCAGCGTTTCGTCGAGGGGCGGTAGTCCAAGGAGCTGACGACGCTCACGCTTTCCCCTAAGTATAGCCTCCTTGAAGAGGTCACAGTACAACTCCACAGCTGCCGGAGAGTCATCGTTACCGGGCACTGGATACGTGATCAAGTTCGGGTTACAATTGGTGTCCACAATTCCAATTGTGGGAATGGCCATCTTTGCCGCATCCCTCACCGCCGTGTGCTGGGCCATCACGTTGTTCTGCGTGTTCAAGAAGATGCAGAGATCGGGCAGCCGGGTAACGGCATCGAATTGGACATTGGCATTGGTAAAGATGCCTCCACGCCAGAAGCGTGTGTGTGAGAATTCACCCGCTTCTTGGGCCTTTTGCTCTACGAGATGGGCGTTCAATGCGTTGCGATTGAAGAAGAGTATGATGCCATCCCGGAAGGCTATGTGGGCAGCAAAGTTCAAGGCATCCCTCAGGTGTGATGCCGTCTTGTCCAAATCAAAGATCAGATGTCCCAGCCGGCTGCCAAAAAGGTACGGACGCATGCGGTCGTCCAGGGAGCCCTCCTTGTGGCCATAGTGCACTCGGGCATTGAAAAGGTCGCGCACGGTAAACAGGTTGTGCACCTGAAAATAGTCCGGATGCTTCAGAATCCTCTGTTCGATCACGGCAATGTCTTCCGGCTCCTTTTGCTCTGGCTGTGTGCTCTGCAGGCGACGCGGCAGGCCGCAGAGTTGACCAACGCGGGGCACTGTCAAGAGGTGATATTTGTAAATGGTTTTTATTTGAGTTTTTATTGATTACTTACGATTTCCAAGCGATTTTCTCAGCATTTTGGAGCGGCTCGTGTTTTCATAACCTTTCTTCTTCTTCTTTGGGGCTCTTCTTCTTCTTGCTCTTGATGGGGATAAATAACAGCTGGGGGCTAGTGTTGAAAAACATAGGATGTGAAATTAAGACGGTTTGAAAAACTTTAATTTTCAGTAATATATTTTTCCTCAAGAAATATAATTAACTTAAAATCCCTATTTCTTTGAAATAAATAATGTATGTATGTAATTCGACTGCTTTCTGGAACACTCCCGTAACCTTCATCATCTGTTCTTAGCCCAGTGTTGGACAATTCCACTCAGCTGTTTTTTTTTTATTCACCGATTGAGTTGTAAACTTTGATTTTTTGTGAATATTTGCAATGTTCCAGCGACTGAAATAGCTAAAAATCAACGGAAATGGAAGTTGAGCAGTCGTCAATCAGATCGGACTCCACCTGCGAGTTCTTGGACGCCGAGGGTGACCCGGAAGCAACCGATCCGGAAGCAAATCTCTATCAGGAGGCGGATCACGACGACCCAGAGGCTGAGCAGCAGCAGAACCATAGTATTATCTCCGAGCTAAGGGATGGCCTGGGCAGAGGCGACGGTAGCACCGCTCTCAGTCCAGAGCCCGGTGAACCAGCAAAGGGACTGGCCGCCTCCGTGGAATCCCTGGCGCTGAGCACTTCCACAAGCGCCAAGACCGAGGATTCCAGCAGCGGCGTGGAGGAGGAGTATGACTATCAGCATGACAGCCTGTGGCGGGGCCAAAAGAAGCACATCTTTATACTCAGCGAGGCGGGTAAGCCGATATTCTCGCTACATGGCAATGAAGACAAGCTGGCCACGCTCTTTGGGGTAATCCAGGCGCTGGTGAGCTTCGTGCAACTGGGCCAGGATGCCATAACGTCAATACATGCGGGCGGCATCAAGTTTGCCTTCATGCAGCGCAGCTCGCTTATCCTGGTAGCCGCCAGCAGGAGCAACATGAGCGTGCAGCAGTTGCAACTGCAATTAGGGTGAGTCATCGTGATTGCTGATAGAGATTCCAACTAATTGAGCGTTCTTGCATTCTAGGGATGTCTACAATCAAATACTGTCCATATTGACGTACTCGCACATGACGAAGATCTTTGAAAAGCGCAAGAACTTTGATTTGAGGAGATTGCTCTCCGGCAGCGAGCGTCTGTTCTACAATCTGCTGGCCAACGATAGCAGTAGTGCCAAGGGTATGACATCCAATAAACCAAATAAATATATAAATTTATTAATATTTATATTCCTTTAGTGTCCAACAACATCTTCACTTTCCTGACCAACTCTATACGCGTCTTCCCACTGTCCACAACGATACGATCGCAGATCACCAGCGCCATTCAAAGCAACTGCTCGAAGATCAAGAATCTGGTCTTTGCCGTGCTGATAGCCAATAACAAATTGATAGCTCTGGTTCGCATGAAGAAGTACTCGATACATCCGGCTGACTTGAGGCTGATCTTCAACCTAGTGGAGTGCTCCGAGTCGTTCAAGAGCTCCGAAAACTGGTCGCCCATCTGCCTGCCCAAGTTCGATATGAATGGATATTTGCATGCGCATGTCTCCTATCTAGCGGACGACTGCCAGGCGTGTTTGCTCCTCCTGTCCGTGGACAGGGATGCCTTCTTTACGCTGGCAGAGGCCAAGGCCAAGATAACGGATAAGCTAAGGAAAAATCACTGTTTGGAGGCCATCAACGAGGAGCTGCAGCAGCCCTTTAACGTGAAATTGTATCAACAGGTTGTGGGCATACCCGAACTGCGACACTTCCTGTACAAGCCCAAGACCACAGCCCAACTGCTCTGCCCGATGCTCAGGCATCCGTACAAGTCCCTGGAGGAGTTGGAGCGGTTGGAGGCCATCTACTGCGACCTACTGCACCGCATCCATAACAGCGCTCGGCCGTTGAAGCTTATCTACGAGGTAAAGGAGCGCGAGGTGGTCTTGGCCTGGGCCACCGGCACCTACGAGCTGTATGCCGTCTTTGAGCCCGTCGTGGACAAGGCTACTGTGATCAAGTATGTGGACAAGCTGATCAAGTGGATCGAGAAGGAGTACGAAGTGTACTTTATAAGGAACCATGCCACATTCTGATACGTAGCCCGGAGCATTTGTAGAGAATTGTGAGATAAAATGACTATTTTTATATATATTAAAATCCTGCCAGCGATTCTGTTGTTGGGAGTAGTTCCAGGACGAGTAAGTAAGTTGTTGTGTTGCAGTTCTGTGACGGCGTCTATTTAATTGATCCTTGTATACCATAACTAAACATGTACATTTGTAATGTAAGCCTCTAAGTAAATTCGAAAATTGAAGATGTTTTGGGTTTTATTTGTAATAATTTTATTTAAAATTAGGCGCTCTTTTTTTGAAAAGGTGTGCAAAAGAAGGTGTTAAAAAGCACAACAAATTTTACCATTCACATTTTATGACATATTTTGGAGCATAAAAAACTCTCTAAGTTGGCTTTAAATATGTTATGGGGTTCTTTGTACGATTTTGTAAAGATTTAAGTTCATATCTAAGAGCCTTTAACACACATGAAAAAGTCCTGCAAACAGGTTTAAGTTTCCGATAACCCTTGATATACTTTTAGTTTGGACTCAAACCGATAACAGAGTCTGAATTATCGGTTAAAAATGAGCTTTAAGGACAATGCGAGAGAGAGAGGAATACCTAGAGACAGCTTTTTCCAGCGAAAATCAACAACTTTAACGCGCGCACTCGCATCGGCAAGGATTAGGCTGTGACGGCGCTCGAAGAATTCGGGAGAATACAATTGAGTACAGGACACAAACGCGAACGCACACGCTTCGATTGTGGGCGCTGCCACCGGAAACCAAGTTGAACCCAGTGCCTCTAACTAACCAACAAAATTAGAAAATCAAATTCAAATTGCCCACGAGGAGTATGTGAAATATATACCAAAAAATTTTCAAATTAATAAATTAATGGTGAAATAACAGCAAGAAAAAAAGAAAGAAAAAAAGTTCTGTCGGCTATATCCTTCGCGAAAGGGAGCAGTTTTTTCTTTCAACATGCGCCACGCATTTTTTGGGTGTTAAATGCTCGTGTATCTGTCGGTTTTTGCGCGCTTAGCTTTGCGGCGGCATTAATACACACACACACACACACCCATAGACTCGGAAATATCCTGCGCAAGTGTGTGTATGTGTGTGCGAGCGACGCCGCTCCGTTCCGTTAGTTTTGCGCGCGTGTTGGTCCTGCCCGCCCGCTTTTAGTGTGCAAATCGTATAATTTATGGTCAAAATATATTTATTTTTTTGTGTTATATACGCATTTCTCGTGCATTCCCCGCTTTTGCTTCGTTTTCCGTTTCGTTTCTCGCTTCGTTTTCGATTCCTTCTCGTTAATTTGTCGTTCGCTTTTCGTGGCAAATTCGTGCTCCTGAATTATCAACAGCGGCGCCCAACACCAACAACAGCAGCGGCAACAGCAGCAAGGAGTTCCAAAGTTTCACCTTTTACACATACAGACAGGCTCGCACACACACACACATACATGTGCACACATATTCGAGGCCACAGGATGTCTTTTTGTGTATCCTAGAGTTATTTTGAAAGCAGCGCGTGTAGCAGCAAAAGGAGGAATAAAAAAAAGCAGGAGCAGAGCAGCAACAAAATAAGGATAAGCGTAGAGGGAGGGAGAGAGTGAGGAGAAGCAGGGACGGAGTAGGAACTGTTGTAGGAGCAGGACCATGAGTAGCTGCATGCCAAGGATCCTGTTTAATGTCGAAAAACTTTCGGCGCCTCGCTTTTTTTATGACTCCTCTTTCGGTCTTTGCTTCACTTTTTTTTCTTTAATAAACTTTTCTTTTTTTTTCTGATTTTGGGGAGTGCAACGAAATCAGTGTGGAAATTGTCGTAATTGGAAAAATCAGCAAAAGGAAATGGGTCCTATTTTTTTTTTTTTTTGTGAAGAAAACTTTCTGAAGGAATAAAGAAGTTAGGCTAGGGCAGAGTACATTAATTTTAATTAAATTAGAATTTAATTAGGAAGTAGGGCTATCTATTAAAAATTCAAGTCAAGAGTAAAAATAATAATAAATGTCCTTATACATTTTTGGGATTAATATCTTAAATAAATAAATAAAATGATAAATATTTGGTAGGATTTGTTCCCTTCAGGTCTTTTACAAAGTTAAAAAATTATTTTGTATTCAAATAAATCATTAAATATTTATTTATGGATTTAAAATCTTTAAATATATAAAAGAGTCTGCTTAGAATTTCATCAGAGGTCAAGAATATAATTTCGTCATTCAGTCAATCGCTCTGTTTTCCAAATCATTGAAATCCATTCCAAAATTATCCTTACCAATAATTTTTAATTGCAAACTTGTAGGCAGCTTTTTAACTAAATATTTAAATATATAAAAATGTCAGTGGTATCCATGTTTAAGTAAATTTCTATCTATTTATATTTATTGTGAAAGGGTGTGTTACAGAACCAATAAAATTCTATTTCCTCTAAAGGGTTTTTTTGCGAAATAAACTCTACAAGAAATTGCAATCCTTAAACTTTTGATTGCATACTTTGTGGCGCAGGCAAGCAGTAAAAGAAGATCTAGATATTGATTGCTTGATTTAACCGCCAGAACGTGCAACATAAAAATATTATTTATTTCTGTCAGCACTAGAGGGTTTCCAGAACAAATCCTCATATTTATGGTTCATATTCGAAAGCCAGCTGGCCAAGTAAAATAGTGCCCAGGATTTATGTACATTTATGCGTGTGTGTGGAGGGAGTATTACATTTTATTTTTAAATTTCAATTAAGCTGCGTAACTGCGAAACGAAAGAAAATTCAATTTCAATAAAATCAATAAAGGAAAATCAACAAATGAAAATATCAAAAGAGTGTGGCGCATAATTTAATTTAAAACGACAAACAACTAACGATACGAGAACCCTCTGTTTTAAGCCAGCGATAAAACCGCTCTGAAACCAAACTGCAACCAAACCGACAAACCCAGTTACAAGCGAGACAAAATCAACAACATTTTTTGGAATTAATTTTATTTGATGCGCGCGCTCATAAAAATTTACATAGAAAGGCAGCCAGCAGGACCAACGGAACACAAAAAATAAATACACCCGACAAGAGCCAGAGCCAGAGCGACGGGAGCGACAAAAGTGAATTGGTTAACCATGGAAAGGGCGTAACTGGCAACTGCTGACCCAGGCCATATAACTTTAGGTTAGTATGTCGTCGTCGCTGTCTTACTGACTTTAGTCTGTGGACTCTAGACTCCCGGATGTCGGATTCAGGACTCTCTGGCAAATCGTATGCCCTTGCCTTCCTGAGTTCACTTAATGTTTTCTCATTTTATTTCGAGCCTCTCTTTTGTACCCTGTAGTTGAGATTCTCAAAAGAGTATGTCCTTTTTTTTTTAATTATGGAGCTTAGCAGGAATGTCACATAAATCGCTGTTAAATTGAACATTAAAACTATTACTTATTTTCTATATTCTTGCATTTATTTAAATAATAATAGTTGGGAAAATATGTATATACATTAACCAAATACTGGGTATTTTGTAGTCCGAATCCTTCCTTCCTCATATTCTTTTTGCTGCGTTGCGCTGCTCGCCCGTTTTGTTTATCCTTTGGCCCCGATCAAATAGGCATCATTTGCCTGAAGGCATCTCAAAAAAAAACAAGAAAGGAAGCTAACTTCGGCTAGCCGAAGTTGAAATACCCTTGCAGTAAGTAAAAAAATAAAAAATAGTTTAAGAGTTTAAGTTTAAGTAAGGATTGCGGTTAGTTTCAGTAAATTTTATTTTTTTCGAAATTCACGTACTAAGCCCCCACACCACGACAAGGTCTCAATCCACGAGGGGGAAATTATAGCTAAATATGAAATATATTGGAAAATTTGTTAATATTTTCAATTTTTTTTATATATTTACAATACTATATTTACAATAAATTCTACTTATAGCCATAATTTGTTAAATAACTTAAGTATACACTCTTACAAGCTATATTTAAAAAAAATACCATCATGATGGCTATAAGGTGTTTTATATGTAAGGGCAACAGCTTCTGGAACTCGAGAGTCAGAAAATATCCAATCAATTTGGGTTTGGTGTTTTGTCGTTGCAGAATTATTCAATGACAAAAGATTATGTCCATTCAAAAATTCCTCCAAAACATCGCTCGCTGAGGATCTGCAGATATTAAAATCTCCTAATATTACCACTTTATTATTATCCATTCTGCGTACTTTTTCAACTTCAGATTTAATTTCATTTCGAAATCTTGCAATAGGAAATCCGGGACTCCTATACACAATTATAAATGACGTGTCAAGATATTTAAAAACAATCGATTGATAGGTTGCTCTGGGACTTGGCGATTTCTTTGTCTCAAAAAGAAATTGCACATTTGACGAAATACTTTGTTTAGCATATATGAGTATTCCGTTTTTCCCAATACCATTTAACCGATTGTTATCAATTCTTCTGATAATGTCGAAATCCCTTAAGTTGTACTCTTCCTGGGGAAGAGTCCAGGTTTCAACAAAACATAAAAAGTTTGCAGAACAAATAATGTTGTCATTGGCAATGTCTTCGCGATGAGCGCGAAGAGACTCAATGTTGTGATAATACATGGAGATGGCATTATCCCCATTGATCAATAATTCATACTGCGTAGTCAAGGCCTTTTCACCTCTTAAGCTTTCTAGCTCTGCTTGGACATTTGTAGCTCCAAATCTAGTTGGAGGAACAAAGTCTCCTAAAAGGAAAAGACCCGATGCGCTTGTTGCTCTGCTGCAACCTACGTAAAGCGAAGCTCGCTTAATGCCCCTTTTAAGGTGCACTGCGACTTTGCTGTAGGTTGCTCCTTGGCTTTTATGTATAGTTATAGCCTCAGCAGGAACAACAGGGAATTGTTTTCGATCAACCGAAGAATGTCCTGAGCTTCCGCATTGGAATACTCGAGCTGTTTTTTCAATTGGAGTCCAATCTGGATGATCATTTCTCCGAACTTTTGACCTGGCCATGGCACCAACTGTAGGATCTGAAAACTTAATCCAAAGTTTTGTTACTAACCTAACGTTGTTTACCATGCAGTTGTCAATCTGCATTAATTGGCCTGTTGCCCCATTTACCAGTCCATCATTTGTATCTATATTGACGGTAACCATATACTTTGCTGTTGTTTTTAGATGCAGAATATATGGCAGTCCCTGGGTTTCGGACGTTTTCATATTTTGGGCATTTCTGAGAGTTGTTTCTTTATTTCTTACTGACATATTAGCTGATTTCACAGTATCTATGGCAGTTGAAACAAACTCTTCTGTGGCGATTTGAGCGAGCTTTAAGGCGTTGTACTGATTAACCTCGTCATTGGAAGCAAATAAGTGGATTGCGTCATCCGGAACGTCGTTTGGCGTGACAACTCTTTGCCTAAAAAGCACCACATCTGCATCTGTCATGTTAGCTTCTGACATGTTATTCAAAGCCAAAGCAAATGCATGATCGTCCCGTTGCCTCATTATTTCTGTTAGCTCGAAATACCTAAAATTACTCCACAGGTTTGTGCCAGCCAGAATGTTATACGGATTTGAGATATTCTCTAGGAATATCCACCGATCTCCTACTGGGCACAGCTGCTTCAGATCTCCAAACACTATAATAGACTTACCGCCAAAAACTACGTCTTGGCTTCTAAAAATTTGTCGAAGTCTTTGATCTAAATATCCTAGCGTTTTAGATCCGACCATCGAGATTTCATCGATGATAATTAATTGGAGGTCTATTAGCTTGCAATGCATTGTGTTTATGGAGTCATTGCTTAAAGGTCTTAAAGGACCTGATGTTTGATTCACTGGAAGTGAGAAAACGGAATGAAGTGTAAGTCCTCCAATTCCAAAAGCTGCTTTTCCAGTAGGAGCACAAAGTAAGACCTTTGCAGAATCCGTTGCTCCCGGTAGCTTATTAGCTCGCCAAGTTATAGACTGATATATAGTTGAAATCAGTCTGCTTTTGCCAACTCCAGCACCTCCCCCAACATATTCATAAAATGTTTTTTTGGCTGCTATATTATGCATTACGTGGGCATAATACTGACGTTGCTTTGCGTTAAGCGACCTGGACAGCGAGCAAAGGTTATCATCAGAAACTAACGGGGGAAGTCTAATTAGTTGAAGTTCGCCATCTTCTGTGTTATTTACAGCATTGTCATCTTGGAGTATATTAACGTTTTGTCCGACGTTTGGTACCGCCAAGGCCCTAAATTCTTCATCTAGATATTGAGAGGCAGGTTCCTGAGGTAGAAGCCCATTATCTTCTCTTTCAAAATTTTGCAAATCTTGAAGAACTCTCTCTAGTTCCATATCATCAAACACATCATATTGCTCTTTGTTGCGCTTAATGATTTCATGATTATTTCTGAATGTCATTTCATTGTCATTCGAAAGAAGTTCAGTCTCTTCATTTCTCCATGGGAAGAAAAGCATTACGTGCTCTCTGAAATAATCAGAAGGGGAAGAGTTTATGCTAAAGCGAACCCATCTAAGAATTAAGGCATGCTTGCGTCTTTTGACACTCCCAGTTCCATCTAGCAGTTGGTAGCTTTGGTTAGAAATGGGATTTTGTTCATTTAGTTCCAAGTCGATCGCTTCATCATAATCTTCGTTGGACGGTTCTGATGGTGCGTTTACCTTGGAAAATTTGTACCAAGCTGCAAATTCTGCAAGGCATATCGATTCTAAGTCTCCATGCCTCTGTACGTACCGATCAAGCAAGTTTTGCTCGAAAATGTCAGTTGAGTTCCCAGGAAGCTGCTCTAATTCTCTATTAGATCGCACTATCCGAACTCTTTTATCTGGATGGCAAGTGTTTACAAAAATATTTCCTTCACTTGCCTCAGACATGTGTAAGCCTAAAATGTTGTAGGCTGCTTCTTGGGCTGATATTTCCGTAGCATTAATAAATTTGCTCCCGAGATGCTGCAACTTTCTTTTTACTGAAATATTTCCATGGCTTATTTCAGTCATGGCTTCTCGAAGCAGTTGCGACACCCCACGGTTCGATTTGTTTATGTAGTTAATTATATAACTACAACAGGCAAATGCATCTAAGATAAACTGTATATCCATGTTTGCCCTATGTAGGCCCAGGATATCCCTGTTATAAGCATTTACCAACCTATCGGAAAATTTGCGGCGAAGAAATACCTGAGGCTTTTTCAAGCTTGATCGGATGGCGAACTTGTACTCTTCAAAACTTATCTGTAGATGGGTAAGAAAGTTTTCAAAATTATTAAAGACGGCTGCTTCTTCATCGGAAGTTGACTTTAAAAGCTCTTTAATTTTTTTAAACATTTCTTTAAAATGTTCAACATTGGGTTCGTTGTCTTCTAACGGAAACAAAACCATTGTTTCAGGCATTGGAGGGTATGGCATTTGAAACCTGCAGAATTCCTGGCCACGCAGTTCTCTTAAACACGAAGAACTATGTTTATGCCGCTGATATTGAATTACTTCTTGCAATTCAGGATCGTCCCCTGTGGTTGTAATAAAACGATCAATGAAACTCACCACTTGATCGGAATTTTCTGGTCCTTCTAGCTTTGGAGCGCCAGAAAACCAATACATTCCATGAGAGTGGGGCGATCCTCTGTGCTGGAATTCTATCCTCCAATAATAATGGACCAGAGTAAACTCGCCAAAAATTTCGGAGCTTTTGAACAATTTAATTAATTGTCGAAACCTAAAGTCAAAGTATCGGGAGCATGTTACTGGGTCAGATCTTATTAATCTAGCTTTTTCGGCTGTAGAAAGAGATGCCGCTTCGTCTTCTGTAATATTTCTATTATCCAATAGACGAGAAAGAGTCACCAAAAGTTCATTCCATTTGGATTCCGCTGCGGAAAAAGTTATAAAAAAAGTAGGCAGCCCAAATTGCCTTATCATAGCTATGACTTTTTTTTTCTCAGCTTCCCAGTGAGCTGGAGCGGATCGAAGACCTTTTAGAATGTGATATCCGTCGTCATGCTGTACAAGGTTGTCAACAAACGAACTATCCATCACATTGGCAGCAGTTACGGAACCTGATTTTTTACGAAGGGCAATGGAGATTGAATTTTGAATTCGCTGCATTTCGTAAAATTTGTACATATAAAGTACCTTAGGTACTACTGCACAACGACGATCGTAAAAACGAATTTGCGATCTTGCTTTTTTGCGTA